TAAAGGCTTCAGCATCTCCAAAGAAGGCCTCCGTGGCCCGGTTGGTGGCCCGGGGCCCAGAGCGGTCGGCCTTGGTGGGAGAGGAAGAGGTGCCGAAAGAGATTGGTGAGAGCATGGCAAGCGCTGAAAGACGATGACAGGCTTCGTCTTGCTGACCGCCACCAACCGCACCGGTGCTTAACACATGTTTGTTTTGTGGAAATCTGCGAAGCAGATCTATCATTTTTTTCTTCCGGGGTATTCAAAAGACCTTTGAAAGACATGTCCTGCGTGCCTGCGTGGTTCAATCCTTGTAGTGTCGGGACCAGGTTCCCTCTGGCCCAAGCAATGAATCTTGAGTGATGTCTTCGGGTACTGGGACTCATCCAATGAATTGTGCGATGTAGATTTCCCCTTGGGTGTGTCCCTGCACCAATCTGCACCATGTACCGTCCAAAGATGAATAACAGAGGCCATCAATGTCAAGTCATCGTCCTCCATGTGGATGCGATGTGTATGCGTATCATGTGTGGTGAAACGTGCTGAAGACCTGAAGTACCAAGCTGGGATCCAGTAGAGATACCTTAGCTTGATAAGTTTAACATCCACCAGAACATCATTGAACAGGTTCTTAGGTCCCTCTCCAAACCCCTGCTGTTTCATAGCATCCAACCGAATGGTGGTGGGAAGTGAAAACTCACTGCCGGAGTCGCCCAGGATCCGCTCCAGATTCACTGCATGTATTCCGAAGGCCCACTGCTCGCGTTTGGTGGGTTGATGTGGGTTGTCCAGCCCTGTCCCGTTGAGCGGTGCTGCCAAGACTGTCTAGGTGCTGACGTTGTCGCCTGCAGGTCAATTTCCAAGAGTTACATGATTCCGGCACCAACAATCGACCACATGACACACTTGGGGTTTCATCTATATAATTGTAGCTGTTTCGAACACCTTCTACTTCGGGCTTGCCCTCTTGTGAGACAAAACAAAGCCACAAAGACTCCCTTCCTCCAACGGTTTCAGGGTCTGTTTCTTGCCTTAAACTAGTTGAAACTCATGTCAAGGGACATGACATGGGTTTGTTGGGTTTTGTAAGATTGGCTCTTTAATTTGAAAATATGAGACAGGAGACATGAATGCATATGAAATATATTGAAATATATACAGTAACCTGATGAAATATCCCCGGAGATTTGTGAAATACCTCCATGTGGGGGGTTATTCATCAGTCAACATGTTTTCATCACTTGTTGCAAACCTGTGAAGCTGCCCGGTGCCCCTGAGAAGCACCGCGATGCGCCACGCGCTTGTCAGGCGAACGATTGGACTTGCCTCCTGGCTTGGAGGAGATCGTCAGGGTTCTCAGAGCGACTGTCCAAGAAACTCGTGCGAAGCCGGAGTTGTTTGATGATGCTTCGCAGCTAATCGCTTTGCTTGAGGTCAGGGATTGGACAATGTAAGAACGGATCTCTCTCTCTCTGCATATACCTCGCCCTTCCATGCAAAATTTGATTGGTACTGCATAATTACTTGGACAGCTTGCACTGTTGTATGTTGCATGACAAGGAAATTCTTGAGAGCCCAAGATCCACCGATCCCGCACATGTCCTGCGCAAAATCACTGTACAGCAAGTGTATTCAACGGGCCAACCAGCACATACCTTATTATATGCTTTGGTGTCTTGGTAGGGAACGTTGCCATTGACCTGGAAGTAACAGTGTTAAGATTGCACACGGAAAGAACCGCTTAGCACAAAAACACAAACCCTTTGAGATATGTCCAACATATAATGTCCTTGCCCAATTCAATAAACATACGCTTCAGGCCAATACGATGGCCAAATCCCTGGCACCCCACCGCTCGATTCACACCACTCATCTCTCAAAAATGATAGAAGATGAAATCTCTAAAAAACTCATGGACCTGTGGAGTAGGAAGCTAGTAGTAACAAGTGCCTCGCTAGTAGTAACAAGTGCCTTACTATTAGTAACAAAAAGCTATTAGTAACTCCATGGTGGCACCAATCGATTCATGCCGCCAGCTTGCCGACCCGAGAGAGACTTCGTCTCAGCCGAATGTGTTTGTTCGGCCGAAGAGGTGCAAAACACACACGGTCCATGTCATAAATAGACATATGAGTCCATACAGCCATGAAAAGATGCATTTCTACAAATCAAGCACAGGGAGTGCCTTCAAAGCAAGCACAAAGCAAGCACAAATCGAGCATTTTCAGAGGTGGGCTGTTGGCTGCTCTTCGTGTTGTCTTGTTGCTGCAGCTGTTGGCAGCAGTGGTGGTGGTGGTTGGTGGTTGGTGGTTGGTGGTGTTGCTGTTGCTGTTGCTGTTGCTGTTGTTGTACATAAGTTGTTTTAAGGTTTACATTATAAAACAACACTTGGTGCAGTTTATATAAACGATAAAGCAACTAAACATGCCAGCTTCCAACACGTCTTTGATGAACCATCACGTTGCCAGAAAGTGGTATTGACCGCTGTCTCAGGTTGAGTAGGGTCACGACAACGCCTTATTTTAAATCCGGAAAAGTGCACGGTTATTGACAGGATGAGGGAATCATGAACGGTAATGAGTCCAATAAGCATAATGAGCCTTATGAAGCCTGACTCTGTAAAAGACATGTTCAAAGGGACGGAAAACAGAAAATAGCCTACTGGCTAGCAGTCATGAGACCTTTTCTCGCAATGACCTTGTGGTTGGCAACATATTGAAACATTGCTTACTGATGTGTTCTGTCGACCTCATCAGTATCAGAACAAGGAGCCCACCCTTCCATTCTTGCTACTAGTAGCGATGCACCTGTTACTGATAGCGATGCCCTTGTTACTACTAGCTTATTGCTACTGTATCAGAACAAGGAACCCACCGTTATTATGGGCCATGCCATGCGCGGGTCATGATGGGTTGTTGGGCGCGGGGAATCAGGGCAGACTACCGAGGCCTATGCTTCCCTGGCGGAGGCATCCTCCGAAATTGCTTACCTTTGAGGAGCGATTTTCAGATTTTTGGGGCGGTGGTGGATGGTGATGTCAATTGTCGATAGTTCATCAAGAAGTACTTGTAAGGACAGAAGTCCATTGAGATCCTTATACTTACTTATATGTCATAATATGTAGTTGCATGGTGAAATGTACTGTTTTTTGAAATTCCCACAGACAAATGTTTCCTTCGCACAAGATTTGCAATGGTTTCAGTGTACAATTACAGTTTTTTGTTGGGCCATGAAAAGCTGCTGAACTTGCGATATGTTTTCGCGAAGGCTGGGGCGAATGTGAAAGCATGTGCAAGGTCACTCGGAAGACCGCTGCCCACATGTTGATAGGGGAGCCTATGTCAGTGTAGTCCGCGCCAAAGAAGACTACAGACAGAAACATCGGGAATGTTAACACTTACACGGAATGGTTTTGTGTACTCATGCAGTTGTGTGGCAGGGGCCAGATCAGGGTATGACCCCCAGATAAACGTGGGCTCCGGGGAAAGATTTGGGAGAGCACTTGCTTTCTGTTTTCGAATCAAGACCTTTCCATGAACAGGAATTCAGGCGAACCACAATGTGGGTAGGTTGGAAGCAGAGACCTCTATCCAGAATGGGTGTAACACGTCTTTATATTCTAGAGTTGTGCCTGGACACTGGACATTTCAACCATGTAGAACAAAAGCATCGTGGGCCATTCTTGCCATTGATTCCCGTGTTCAGAGATCACGTTGGTTCGGCCGCACAGATGGACGCAGAAAAAACACATCTCACCGGTACACCCAGAACCCATCGCACGGAAAGGACACCGGCAGCACGGCCTTGCAGGACCGGCAACGGCAGCACTGCACCAGAGTTGTAAGATTGTAAGACGATTGTAAGACTTGTGTGACACAAGTGCCGAAACGAATGCCTCACCGGCCAAAAAAAGGCGTTGAGGCGATGGCACTTCTGCACCGAGAGGGTGGATGGTGCAGCTCTCTTGTTTTGGCTGATGCCCTGAAATGGGGCGGTACAGATGGCATGGCACTGGCGTTCTCTTCTGGCCGGCCAAAAGTAAAGACATGGGACAAACTCCGCCACTCGCATCATGTTTGACATCCAAAATTAGGTCGATGTTCACATCGTTCCTGTGCTTGCCGAGACATCAAATTAGATGCTTGTACAGATCTCGCTGTCGGTGCAGCAGTTCATGAAAGTTCTGAAAACCAGTCGCGGCAGCGCAAATGGCGGGATCGCCTCGCGTAGGCCCCAAACATCTATACATATCAATATAAGCCGAAGCTGGTCGGAAACACAGAGGAAAACCATGTTCCCTTCTCTCCCTTCTAACAGGCCATCATGTTTGTTCAACTAAGGCCAGTGGGAAGTGTTTGTGCGATGAGATTGCCGCTCTATTTCGAAGGGATCGGGCGAGCGATGTGATCCTGCATTTTGCAAAATTTCTTCTGCAAAGACTGAAACGCCCTGCTGTTGTTGCACAGCTGAAAGGTCTACTGAGTCAATCCAAAGAATCACTCAGCCCCGTTTGTAAAGGGTCCTCTAGGAGTTGTCATGCAGCCCAGATGAATCAGCTGAAAGATATCGGAGACGTGTTGGAGACGTGACATATAGTACAATCCGAGTTTGGTTCGTCGGGGGCACGCAGGGCGAATCGTCAGATGCACTGTTCCCAGCTCCAATCGTCATGTTTTCAGCCCCTCGAGGATGCTTTAGAAGGGCATCCTTAGTGCTGACGTGGAGTTACAATTTTTCAGCGGCAATCTTCACATGAGACCAGGGTCCATACCGTTTACCCCGTCTCTGGATTTTCAGTGCCTTGCGAAGGACTGTGGCACTTTGCCGGATGTAGCGAGTCGAGTTTCTTGAAAGCTTGACGGGCCTTTGCAGTTTCGATGGCGTCGGCGTCAGACGCCAAAAGAGGCGCACCTCCGACCGGCGATCAACACCGGGACCTCGTTGGACTCGCGATCCGACGCTTCTGCGAGTGCGAGCGGCGCTGAATTCCGCGTGGAAGCGACGCTGCTGGAAGCGCTGAGGCTCATTTGCCCTCGCGTGTCGACACCCTGTTGTCGCGGCTCAGTCATTTGGCGACCCGTTTCGATGGCCAGGCCGCCCCGGCAGTCGGTGGAGATTGGTGGTTGGAAGATGTTGGAAGGGGTGCCGGAGGTTGGAAGGGGTATGAGGAAATAAAGGAGCTTTCATGGAGCGCTGTGTGGTAGTTGGTCTCAGAAACTCAAGGTTACACTCAAATCAAATCTTCGTGCACAGAATCTGCGGAATCTGCACTGGTCTCGAGTTAGCAAGTGCACAGCGTGGTGCAAAGATGAGCACGGCAAGGGTTGTGTGCTACAAGACTTTGGTGAGTAATTTGTTGAGAGACCAAACCAAGATTTTGCCAATGAACCTCCTCCACTATCTCCACCACGCTTGGACCAGCCATGGATGAATTCTTCAAACGGCGCGTGACTGCCGCTTGCCCAAACCGATGCCCACAAAAAGCATCCAGGTCATCCGCGAGCCTTTCCTTTTTGGAGCTGACAGCCGACCCAGGCAAGTTCGGGATCGCGGTTAAGGCGAGCTCATGTAGGGTTCAGGTGTGACTCGGTTATTTTTCAGTGCGTGTTCGCATGTGTTTGTGTGTCCTCGCTGAGGGAGGGGTCCAAAGGAAGGCCGCAGTGGCTGGTGAATTCTCACTAGTAACAGGAAGCTAGTAGGTTGGAGGCCATCGCTGCTGGTAACAAGAAGCCACTATTTTCTTCAAAAGGTCGTCTTCAAGGTCAAGGTGGGCATTCAGCAGAAACTCTGAAAGCCCGGCTCTTTCAGCTAGGCGGTTCGAGGGGCTGTCATTTTGATTATGTTATCCCGATCGTGAGAAAACCACTCTCCGTGGGGGACAAGATATTGGTGTAAAAGAAGCTGCACTCCACCAAATATACCAAAGTATATCAAAGTAACATTGGGACTGACTATTACCGGGTCAAGCCATCATCTTGTGCGTGAAGCCTATGTTGCTTCTTTGGAGACATAGTTGTTGTGCGGTGTTCTGTGTGAAAACACGTCTGCTGTTTGTCTCACTCTTTCACCGGGGCAGCGATGCGGCCAGTGGACATGTTCTTCAATCTATCACCATTCATAACCTATATCACTTTTCTTCAGCTGTTTCGGTGCCCCGGGAAAAATACGAAAAGGTGGATGGAAACGCCCGCGGTGTCGAGGGTAACATCACGGGGTGGACCGAAGGGGCCTCTGATCAACACGCCACATTCACCGTGAGCGCCGGCGCTGTTTTTGGTCTTAGACTGACCTGACTCGGCTCAGGAATGAATCATCCCATGGAGTTGCAAGTTGCGAAAAAGAAATCACTCGTGACGCACTTTGAGGATCTACGCCATGGGTTTTGCTAGATCCAACTATAACTAAGATCATTTCTTCCTATGCCAGTGGCCCAGCCAGATGGTTGCACTGTCAAAGCCCTAAAAAGGGGGTGTGAAGCAAAGTTCAGGATCCAGATGCTTCGCAAGTCGTGGACCCAACGTCGACAATCAAGACCCCCAAGAAGCAAACATGGCGAGACCTGGTTGTTTTTAGTACAAAGAAGTGGCAAAAGGCCGAAGCCACTCAAGCTTGGGTGTGGCCTGCTGCAGGAGCTATGACTTCAGTGGCAAGGGACTTAGTTTGCCTCAGGTCAAGCGTAGTTCAAGACGTCTCGAGGTCTGCTGGCAGGCATGTCCAAAGCAGAAGCTCTAGATGTCCCAACATCGGGGGTGCTGTTGCTGCTCCGTACTCAACACAACATAGATGCGACAGGCAGATATTCCATGTGTTCATCTCTTTTGTCAACAGGATTGTAGAGCTTTGACCTGCAAAAACACGGGACACCGGATATCGAGGATTCTTCTTAAGTCCAACACCTGCCACCCCCAGCCCGATCTCAATCCGGCCCAGCCTGGAAATGCTAGCCATATTTTGGGGGTGTACGTTCTTACCTGTATATAACAGTTGGTAAACAATTATCACTATTTTAGAGGAAGGCCTTTACTAACCATAATCATCCACTTTTACAGGGAATAGGAAACACCCAAGCCATATTATCTATGAGTGTCATCAAAAACAATAGGCACACACGTCAGTCTCTCCATCGAGCGGCCCCATGAGGTAAATGTGAGCAACCAAATTCGACGTCTTGTCTTATCTACCCCTACACAAGCTAAGCAAAGACATGGCTGATTGACCATTTATGAAGCGCAATCAAAAAGAATAGGATCCCATGTTGACCATTTGATTGGCAAATCTTGCCTTTGTAATGATACCGTTCTTCACTATCCATCCACGTCATGCTGTTTCTTTTCAGAATAGGACTGCCAAACACCACTTGGATCCACCGCCCAGGTTTGGCCAAGCGTCTTCAAGTCCATTTTCCCACCGCGCACCTCAGACGACATCGGATCAATGGCTGGGCTGGACCAGGGGACCTGGGGCACAAAAGAGAGGTCTGATCAATCGCTTTGGCTCAAAACCGCTAACAGATAGACTACCACCGATGAACAGATAGACTACCTGGGAGGTCAACATACCACACAGCCCAGTGAGTTCTCAGACAGCTTCTGAACAGCTTCAGTGAAAAAGCATGAAAAAGCAATAGCACGTTGGAACACCGACTGTACACTATATCACCAGGTCACGTGCATTTCCTAGATGCTAGCCAGGATTTGCGTTGCACGAACCCAGGCCTGCGCCATTGCTGCCAAAGGAGGCGAGACGTCGTTCCGAGAAGGCTGTCCTGATAGCAACAATTGCAACCAAAGCAATATCATGTTCACTCCGACTCACGTTCCATGGAAGTGGATGGAACCACCTGTTTGGTATTCGGATTTCATGGTCATCCAACAGACCATGCCTTCCACTTTCATGGGGAACGTGAGTCCGCAGGTACCACCCTCCCTTGGCTCACCTCAACCGTCCCAGCCCGAATCCGATCCCCATGCGGCCCCCTCTGCGCCTCAGGGTACCACGGCGGGCACGACGGCCACAGGCACAGCGCTTGACGACGCCCTCTGGGGAAGAAAAAGATGTCGGTTGATTTGTTGAGCCTACAGAGCTGGCCACAGGGCATTTGAGATCGCCAGATTTGCCAGAACTGTTTTAAAATTAGATGATAATCTCCGCCGCTACCGACAATCCAAACTGAGTGTGCTTTTTGCACGATTTTGTCATTTTATATGACTCATTTAGTATAAGGAAACATGTATAAGGATAAGTAAAATGACAAACATAATTTGAGTGTTGAACGGTTATATATATATATATAGGTGTGCACTACCAAAATATCCAGACCCATTGTAGATGACTTTGCACAACTCTCACTTTTTAGACATGTGTAACATGTTTTTAGGCTTCATGACTTGAAACACCTGACCTATACAACCCATTTTATGCTGACCATTTTTGGATACCATGAGCATGCTTGACCTCTCTTCTGCACGGGGATAGATGATATGTGTTTCGACTTGTGATTTCTTGCTTTATCCGACCTTCCCACGACTCAAACTTATCCTGGCATGTCGCAGTCTTTGTTTGTAGATCAAACGGCATTGACATGTTGCAAACCTGTCCGGCATTTTAAGTTGTACTACGAAAAACAGCTCCTGTTTCAGGATTCCATCAACTAAACATGAACAAAACTCCACTTTCACCACGGTGTTTCTGTGGATTTGCGTGGCACCGGCGTTCCAGCACCTGTGTTCCGCGGCCCTGCCAGGACCGCCACCTGTCCTCCATGCGGAGGCTCCCCCAGCAAAACGCACAGCTTTTTGAAATGCTCCAAGGTTGGGTGGATGTCTTCTATTTGTTCCCCACCTGCCAGGTGAGGGTTGTTAGATTTTATCACAGTTGTTCTTCCTCCGCCTCCGCCGCCTCCTCGTCCTCCTCCTTCCTCCTTGCTTCCTTCCTCGCCAATCTTCATCGCCAATCTGCTTCGCCGATCTTGTCTGGCCAGCTCCGGATCTGCGTGTGTGCACCCCTGGACCTCAACCGCAAGGATCCGATCGCAGTGTGCACCCCTGGACCTCAACCGCAAGGATCCGATCGCAGTGTGCATCCCTGGACCTCAACCGCAAGGATCCGATCGCAGTGTGCACCGCTGGACCTCAACCAGATAGTTTGCCAGATAAAATCCACAAACACACAATCACAAACACACGACCACAAACGCACAACCACAAACACACAACCACAAACACAATCACAAACCCACAATCACAAACACACAACTACAAACACAACTACAAAGACACAATCACAAACACATAACCACAAACACAAAACCACAAACACACAACCACAACCACACAACCACAAACACACAATCACAAACACAATCACAAACACAATCACAAACACAATCACAAATACAATCACAAACACGCAACTACAAACACAATCACAAACACGCAACTACAAACACAATTACAAAGACACTATCACAAACACACAACCACAAACATACACACAACCACAAACACACACAAACACACAACCACAAACACACAAACACACAACCACAAACACACAACCACAAACACAACCACAAACACATCCACAAACACAACCACAAACACACAACCACAACCACAAGTACAAACACACAATCACAAAGACACAAGCACAACCACAACCACAACCACAACTACAAACACATAATCACAAAGACACAACCACAACCACAACTACAAACACATAACCACTACCACTACCACAAACACAACCACAAACACATCCACAAACACACAACCGCAAACACAACTACAAACACACAATCACAAAGACACAAACACAACCACAACTACAAACACACAATCACAAAGACACAACCGCAACCACAACCACAACTACAAACACACAATCACAACCACTACCACAACCACAAACACACAACCACAAACACAAAACCACAAACACAACCACAAACACACAACCACAAACGCACAAACACAACCACAACCACAACACAGCACACAACCACAGCACACAACCCGAGGACCCACAAGCAACATCGAGAACTACAATACTAACGACTATGGCAACATGCTCCTCACTATGGCATCAAGACAAATGATTGAAATGTCATGGTGGGGATCACTCGAAGTAAAGTAATTCATAGAGTTTTTTCCACGTAGCTCTTCAAGTAATGATGCACGTGCTTGATGAACGAAGATACGTAGAACACACATGAACACATGAGTGATCTGATTTTCTGATATGTTCTGCAGTTCATTCATGACTTTTAGTGAGACACAGACGACCCTTCTGGGAAGGCTCCCAAATAGTCTCCTAAATTATCCTAAATTATTAATCAATAATTTATCCAAATTATAAATCCAGTAATTGAATCCCCAGGCCCCCAGCGCTTCTATCGTGCTTCGTTGGTGCTTTTGGCTTGGCTGTTTAAAGTTGTGTTTTCAGGAGGATCTTTGCTGCCGAATTTGCCATCTGACAGCTGAAGAGACCTTGCCTCAGACCAAGCCACGCCATTGGGATGCCGAGTTCGTGCTGAATGTCACAATCAGTTTGGAAGAACGATGCAAACCCATTGCTGGGAGATGCAGCACTTTTGCTGACTCTTTTGGGGTCTGCTTGTGAAGAGGAACCTCCATCGGAGGGAGGCCCTAGTTCAACACGACCGCACCAAGCCACCTTGCGCCAAAGACCCAAGCTCCACCTCACCGAAGCTCGCATCTGGGAGAGCCGTTCGGCTTGCTTGCGGCTCGCCCAGCGGTGTTTAAAAAGGGTACCTAAGGGTCTGAAGCAAAAGGGGGACACTCTTGGACCTTGAGAATATGTTCCTCCACAAAGACATTGACTATATAGTGGTTTTCAGACTGCATGGTGGGTGTGTATTAAAACAGGGAGGACCTTCCAGACAATGACCTTCAAAAAGAAGGAATCCGAGAGCAGGCCACATACCAAAACCGTCCAAAAACCATTGGGCCAGGAGGTCTCCCTATGACTAATACACACCCAATCCGGGGTCACCCAATCCGCTGGTTGAGCACAGGAGCGACGCGGAGCTCATTGAGCCCTGCCAATGTGCGGGAAGCATCCGCTGCGCTCACTCCAGCTGTTCGGGGCCTCGGAGCAATAAGGAGCAAACCACCCAAGGAACAGAGTCATGAGTCATGATGAAAAGACCTAATATACAATATGGCATGTAGTTTAGTATAATATAGACTACAACTAACAAGTATATTGTGAAGAGGTTTACAAGCGCAGGCTGTCGGCTCCAGAGATTTGTGTGTGTGCTTTTTTGGAAACTGGGGTGCTATGTTTGACACATGCCTCGAATGCCTCCCTCTAGCCAGCAAAGCCACACCGAGGCTCATGGCTATGGCCGTGTGATTCCCCCTTTAGTAGTCCAATGGTAGGGGGGTCCTACTGTTGAAGCAAGACTCTTCACGAAAGATTGCAAACGGCAACCTGGCTTAAGAAGAAGATGCAGAACCTGGCAAGTCGGTACACGAGTACAGTTGTCTCCAATGCATGTTTTTTTGGCGCCAGAGTTTTGAGTGGCCATTTTTCCATGTTCCACTGGGTCACTTCAGACAGTGTTCTTGATGTAGCCATTTTCACACATGTGGGCTGGATCCCGTCTCCTGCTTGTTCAGGTCTTATCGATTGGCTGAAGCATACCGGGGCCGCCCAGGCTCGCGAGTGGCGCAGGGAAGCCAAGGCGGCCAAAGGCCAAGACAGATGGTCTTGGAAAGATGAAGACCTGCCAAAGACTGGAAGGAGAGACCAAAACCATCCAAAAGCATCAAACAGCCAGGAGGGGCTCGCTATTTGAACATCATTCCTATCTAAATCGAGTTATACGCATTTTAAGTAAATCATTCTACATCCTTGTAGAGGCCTCACAATCTCCTGCTAGAAGGGAGTTTGTTCCATCAAATGCGACCCAAGAGCGTCCTTAGGAAAGGTGTTGGTACATTTCTGTGCAAGGCTTTCACCTGAATCCATGGCCTGTTTTCAATGATCAGTACAGCGAGCTCAGGAAGGTAATTAGAGAAGCTCTGTTTCAGAAGAAATTGAACAACTATTGTCATAAACCTGGCAGGTGCTGGTAAATGCTGTGGCAGTCTACCCGCTGCGACAGAAAACAGCCCTGACGACTCGTTGTCTTCCAAAAACCGGGGTCTTGGGGTACTAAGGTGTTCGACCTATCCGTCCGTACCAAGGTGTTGTCCCTCCATGATGTGCTTCGTCCTTACCCATAGATCTACCCATTTACCCATTTGCACGTGCTCGGCAGCAGAGCAGCCCGGCAGGGTCAAGCCGACAGTTGCGCCAGCCAAGCAATCTGTGTACAATCCATCGGCGGCAATAAGCCATTGCACGGCCAATAGCACAGCCTTTGCCAGCTGTTGCTGGCAGGAGCAGCACTGTGCCACCAAGCATGTTGAGTTGGTGGTGATAAGGTGATTAGCCAGATAGGTGCTGGTTTGAACACTTGTTGCTGATTCTCAGGTCATATGAGTGCATGGCCGGAATAAAAGGCCCTGCTCAAACGTGATGGTGAGACAGCAAGGGTGGTGCACCAACATGGTGCGACCCCGGCTCAATCCGTGTTGGCCGGCCGGAATGCCGCTGTCGTTTGTCACTTGCAGAAGCCACAAGCTCCCAGCGCCAAACAAGGTGGAAGGCGGCGTTTGTCCACCAATTCATCTCCAGGTGCCCTTGTGTGATGAAAAGCTGTGCTCGTGGGCAAATTGGTCGCCACATGGTGTAGGTTTGCATGCTGAGCTGCATTGGCGTGTTGGCCAAAAAGCGAGTTCCACACCAAGGTCGTCGAACTGTGTAAGGGCTGCCAGCAACAAAGCAAGAAGCCCAAGACCATTTCTGTAGCTGGGGCGCGAGTCTAGGCCGTCATGCAGTGTCCATGTCTCAAGCTTTCCAAGGCACATCAAGGCACTTGGCAAAAGACGTTGTGGGAGAGATGCAGCTCCGGTATGGCATCCCGAAATCGGCTCTAGGTCCGACGCTGTAGGTCCCCTTAGTGGGCAGACAAGGCAGGAACAGTGCCCTGGCGACTCAAAACGGATCAAAACGGAAAGGCGTGCGATCCACTCAGAGTGGATGCACTTTGTGCAGTGTGCAGGCAGTAACCATTGAAACGTCATGGTTCAATTGTCAACAGCCGTACCGAGACCTCATCACGGCTAACAAAAACACAATGGATATATATATAACATCCACGGATTCACATGTATTCAATTGTATTCATCATCTATTTACGCATCAACTTGTATCTCTACAAAGGCGTATGCTGTTTTGCCTCTTTGTTCACCTATACGATATTATTCTGCACCATCCTGTTCACCGATCCACATCTAGCCACCTATTGACACACCGACTGACCGACAGACCTGCATGGTTTGGGTCGAGGCTGCGACCTCTGTTTGGCAGCCTTCCGGGTGGAATCCATGCCTGGTGAGCCTCCAGGTGGCAGGCCAGGAGTTTGGTCGGCCGTTTGGGAGGCTTCACCAGGTGCAGGAATGTCGTTTCTCATGTGTTCGCATGTGTTTGATTTGGACTGCTGGTGGTGACAGCAAAGCGGGCGAGCATTGCCCAACATAGAGTTTTGAACTTCATCGCCACACCATGGTGAAAAATATATTGGTTCTATTTTGAGAACTCTGGTCTGGTTGACTCTCTTGAGTCCTGTCTGACACCAGGGAGAGCCAACATTCGGCCACAGAACGAGTCCCGAGAAAAGCAAGGCAGAGGGCGGTGCCATCTGTCATGACAATTCCTTGGCCACATCCTGTGAGCACAAACGGGTTGGTTCGCGGTGGTTCGCCATTGCGGGATTGGTTGGTAGGAGGATGTGGGAGGTTTGGTTTCGTGATGTTTCCTCAAGAAGATACTGGTGGGAGAACAAGACAGCCCGGAAAGATACAACTAAAGACTAAAGACATATAAACACTGGTTTAGAGAAGTTGGGTGTAGAAATCCAGAACTAAAGATTCAAATCGGCCAACCCAACAGGCCTACCCAACAATCTTCGGTTCGTCCGTTCTTTCAGGGCCCAACCGGGTCCAAGGCGTCTCCGTTCAGGTTGCTCCAGCGGTCCCCGTTGGAGTTCGTGGACTTCCAAGTCTCCTCCGAGCCGCTCGTCGTTGTGGACTCGGCCGATGTCTCTAGGGCCAATGTGATGTGTTGACTCAGTGGAGGAAGTTCACTGAGCTTCTCACATCAGTTTCAAGCTCCACTCAGATCAGAAAAATTGCGTATTCAAAAGGCTTCAAGTTGTAGCCGGATAGTTCGGCATACATTCATGTTGTTCCGATGTGTTTTCGCTTTGATGTCAGTATATATACCAGCAGAATCCTGGAGTTGTCACATTCTTCTGTATGTTCCAGGGTTTCTTGCATGTGGGTGTTTGTGTTTAAAGTAGAGGAATAACAATAAGACTCTACCTCGAGTGATCCCCACCATGACATTTCAATCATTTGTCTTCATGCCATGGTGAGGAGCATGTTGCCATGGTCGTGAGTTTTGTGGTTCTCGACTTTGTTCATGGGTCCTCGGGTTGCGCGCCGTGATTGTGGTTGGGTTATTGTGGTTGTGTGTTGTGTTGTGGTTGTGTGCTGTAAATGTGCCTTTGTGGTTGTGTGTTGTGGTTGTGTGTTTGTGGATGTGCTTGTGGCTGCGTTTGTGCTTGTGGGTGTGTGCTGTGCTTGTAGTTGCGATTTTGTGGATGTGTTTGGGGTTGTGTTTGTGGTTGTGTTGTGGCTGTGTGTTTGTGATTGTGTTTGTGTTGTGTATTTGTGATTGTGCTTGTGTATTTGTGATTGTGGTTGTGGCTGTGTGTTTGTGACTGTGTGTTTGTGATTGTGCTTGTGTGTTTGTGATTGCGTTTGTGATTGTGTGTTTGTGGCTTGGTGCTGGCTGAGGTCTGGCGGGGGCGACTGCGTGAGGTCCAGAGGAGGAGGCGGAGAAGGAGGCGGAGGAAGGCAGCTGACATAAAAACTAACAACCTCACCTGACAGGTGGGGAAAGACGAGATTAAGAACCGTAATAGACATAAACTAGACATGTACAGGCATTCTTTCTGCCTTGCATGTGGAAGGACACAGTCCCCCAAAATCTATGACCCACAGTGAGAAGACCTCAAACACATGGAAAGCCCTAGTTGGGGGGTTAACATCCTATTAACGCACTCTTTTGACACGTTTTCACTTTTCTATGTTAGCTTCAGTCGGAATGTTGTTTTTCTATTTTTCTCTATGTGTGTTTGTTGCTGTATTCTAGGTATTTCTGAAATGCTTTTGTGTTCCTCTAAGCGCACAAGAAAGACATATAAGCAAGTGTTGTCTTCGTGATAACCAAATATATAAACGCATAGGATTCGTAGACTGATACAGAATAGACCTGGAAGAACTAAAGAACACACAGATTTAGATGAACGTAAAAAATAAAACAGCACCAGCACATGGTAAATAGATACACAACAGACATGGAAACACACATAGTACAGAATACAAAAAGGACATCCTGGGTGTTTGGCTTGGTCACCTTTGAATTGGCTGTGTTGCTTTCCTATTCCCGAAGCATATTCCATTGTCGTTTTTGTCCCATTCTCAAAAACACCGATTCACCTTCGTCGTCATCTTAGATCTTTGTTGTTTTTGGTTTCTGTTTTGCTTTGTCTTGGCTTAAGAATTCCGAATCCGCTTTTCCAATGATGTAAAGATGTAATAGAAGCTGCAGCTTGCCATAATCCTCAAGGTGCGTTTGGCTGACTGCAGGAAACCTTCCGGGCTACTGAAGCAGCACAAGTTCTTGTAAATACTAGACAATGAGTGAAAATCTGAACGATGTTGTCTTATCATGTTTGATCCGTCCTTTCTGTTTGTAAGTGTCCAGTGTTGTTTGTGTTCATGTCTTGGCAGCGTGTTCGCTGCTCATCAGGGTTTGGCACTTTCTTTTTTTGGACATCAATTTGACATCCAATTTGCATTCCAAGTGTGCATGTGTATATATATATATATGTGCAAGATAAAACAATATAGCTGTGTGATGTTTTGTGTTTATAAACAGTCTATACTATAGTTACTATATATAGTATAATTGTGTACATGCACATGCATGTGATTGGAGGGCGGTATCCTACTACCTCCTCTTGAGGGGCGGAGCCTCAGCTGTGCACGTGGAATTTGCTCGCCTGTGCAGGCACTTGGATTTGCTCGGTTGTGAGCGCGCTTCCTCGGTTGCACACGCCGCTTTGCTCGGCTGTATGAATGAATGAATGAATGAACGAATCAATCAATCAACCAATCAAGCAATGAACTAATGGATGAAGGAATGACGGAATTTGTGAATGATTGAGTGAATGAATGAATGAATGAATGAGTGAAATGGAATGGAATGGAATGGAATGGAAAGGAATGAATGATTGACTGAATGACTGAATGACTGAATGGGTGAGTGAATGAAAGAATGAGTGAATGAATGAATGAATGACATGACGTGACGTGACGTGACGTGACGTGGCATGTCATGGCATGGCATGACATGACATGACATGACTTGACTTGACTTGACAGACTGACTGAATGAATGAATGATATGAATGAATGATATGAATGAAGGATATGAATGAATGAGTGAATGGAGGAAAGAATAAAGGAACGCATGGATACATGAAAGATTCAATGAATGAAATGAATGGATGTACTGCAAGTCCTTCACATTCACATTCACGCCCCCAACCTTTAGCTTGTTCAGAGGGACGTTATTAACACCCCCCCAACCACCACCCTCCCTTCCCAACCCCAGCTGACCCCAACAACAAATGTAAATTTCATCAGAAAACGAGCGTGTGTGTGGAGACCTGACTCAACGACATATCATGAAAGAATGACATATCATGTACACATCACATCATGTCAATTTGTGTGTGCACAGGTGAGCGAAACCTGTGTGCGCAGGTGAGTTTGAGGTACCAGGCATAGTTTGAACAAGGTTGTAATCGATGTGTGTACTGTGTACAGGTGAGCGAATCCTGTGTGCGCAGGTGAGTTACTTGTATCAAGAAATGCTGTGTGTACAGCTGAGCGAATCTTGCGTGCGCAAGTGAGGCGCCGTCCCTCTTGAGAGAATGCTATGAGATTTGGCGGCCAGGTCGGTCAAATCCACCAATGCATTAAAGGCAAACAGGGCCTTCCTGCATTTAGTCTCCCAAGTCGAAAGGACGTCAACGGGTCTTGCAGATGGGATGATCGAGCCAGAGTCACGCTGATCAGGTTCAATCCAAAAAATCTAAAGACAAGTCCGCAAGCAAAGAGAAAAGTACTAGTCATATCATGTCATTCATCACCTATTTAGGTGCCTTCCAACCAATGGGTGAACCAGGTTCTTCAACTCCACTTGTTATAGGGTTGGACGGTGTTCTATCTTGAGCATACCCACTTCTACCATCAGGTTGCAACAAGAGGATTCTTCAAGTATGTTATGCCTGGTATTTGTCGATGATGCTCGACAACCAAAGAGGTACGCCCAAGTTGTATGAACCAAAAATAAGCTGAAAATCTTGAAAAAAGTAAGCCACCCTCCAGATCCGCCTGAATCTTGAGACTCAATCATCGCACATCTGGCCAAGGTGCTCAGGACTTGTCTCTGTCCTGTTGACCTCCACCAGCCAAACACTCTTCATGTGTTTGGGCCAGAGTCCCAGCGTTGTGCGTTTGTTTCTGGCACTTATGTAATCTGCAAGCCGTGTGCTTCGATATAACCATGTGTTTCAATCAAGCTACCTGCAACGCCACTTGCAGCTGTTGTCGATAACGTAAAGTTGCAGAATCCGGCTGAGCGCATTTGCTAGGTTGCAAATTTCTTGTCTGGCGATTGCAAAGGGGTTCTCATGTTACTCATGTTCCTGGCTCCATGTCAAGCTAAAGCATGCTGCCCCTTGAATAGCCTGTGGGTGCGACATGTGTTTTTTTTCTTCATGGGGCATATAAACATACAAGCAACGCATTTAATACTATATTATAGCACATTGCACCAAAGTAACATAGGAATGTTCTTTGTTATAGGTTGTTTCAAGGTACCCTGCAGGTTGTTCATGCGTTTTATCATTGTCACGTTCTCCTTGAAAAAACAACGCAGGTTTCAGGTGAACGGGGCAGCTGAACAGCTGCGACCTGCCGTGCTTGGGGTACAAGGCCTCACCTGGGGACGCTACTCGATAAGCCTGTATTTCCTGCAGTTTGCGTGGCTGCGAGGGCAGGTCGCAGCAGAATGTTCAGACTGCAAAATGCAAAGGACCCGCAAAATCCAAGGGTAGTTAAGGGTTGCGGTTGCCCTACCAAACCCAGGGGGTCCAAAAACAGACGTCAACCAACATCCGTTTCGTTTTCGTCTTGACGCCGAGGCACTGGCGTTGCCAACATCCTCTACCTCGTTTGGGTCCTTGGAAGATCAGCGCAGTGACCAGTTTGGCTTCTGGGGTCCTGGGTTCTGGAGTCCTGGGTTCTGGGGTTCTGGGGTCCGTTCTGGGGTCCTGGTCTAGTAAGATGTCAATGTCAAACACATTTCTTGAGGTGGCCAACATCGTCCTCTCGCCGGCGGCGCCGGCCGCTTATGACCTTCTCAAGTGGCCTTTGGTGCCTTGGGACGCAAAAAGATGCAGCATGGAGAATCACGGATACATGCATGATTTGAACATATTAGAACTGTACTGCGGGCAGCAGAAAGTTTCGGTCATGACTCATGACACGCCGCACAACTTCCTAGCAGAAAGCCGTGGAGGATGCTCCGAACATGCACCATACATGCAACACCCTGCGACACAAGCCATGCAACTTGGAGAACATTCCCAAAGTATGTGTTTGAGAATACGCCTTTGAAAAACCTGCCAAACACCTTCCCTGGAAGATGCAGGAGAATCGATTCTCCCAAAGCCTGCCTGCCCGGTGCTGAATGAGAGGTTCAATGTGCCAACCTGCGATTCATCAGGTACCAACCACACATGTATAAAATAGCTTGATTTGCGACAGCCCATCGAGTACCTCTACTAGACCATGGTAAAATATGATTTAGAAAAGAGACAGTAAAGGGGCAACATGACGTGTTTGCAAGGTACCGTGTACCGTGTACCCCAAAAGCAAGGTAGGCTGAGATCTTTTGCTGTAGTCCATTCTGTTCCTGGGAGGTCAACTAGGCTTGGGTTTTGACCCACACGAAGGTGTGATCTCTGCTGAATTCTCCAGCTGAGGCGCTGCCAGCCATGATGGTGGACTTGGCGTCCCAGTTTTTGTACGCCATCCTGGTGGTGATGAAGGCATTGATCCAACTGTACTGGCGATGTTGGGCGAAGAGGAGCTAGTTCTTGACTGGTTTGTTCTGAAGAGATGGGTTTGTTTTTGGGTGTGGTGAAAACCACGCAGCTTCGCCGGCCACTCTTCACTAGGCTTCATCAGGGTTCAGGGTTCCTCCATTCCGTTCGTCATGCTTTAACACCGGTTCGGGCAGCGGTACTGTTGGCAGACTGTTGGCGGTCGTTGATTCAACTGACACCGACATGTCCATGTAGCTAAGTACTGACACGCCTTCCGAAAAGAAGTGGGATGAGGTGGTTGAATCATGTTTTCCGACCTCATCCAAAAGGGCCGAGATGCGCAAGCAGGCAAGCAGACGACCAGCCATCGAGCCATATTGAGCCATCCAGCCATCCATTCGAATCAAGAAAATACGTCATTCCTTCCAGGGTTTGGCTGTTCATTTGGGTGTGTATGTTAATAGTGACACAATGACACACCCAAACAATAATGGGGGTTGTTCTATGTTCCTTCTTCCAGGGAGTCTTTGGGAGGTCTCCATATGTTAATACCTATGTGAATCTCGAGATCCAGCTAGGTGTTTGATTCCATGGAAACAAACAGTTTCCCGGTGTTTGAGCCTTCAAATTGTCGCTAGAAAAGTTCGTCTCCTTTTGATTGTTACATATTTGTAATTTGTACTGTATTTAGGACTTCAATCAGTTTCACTGCTTTCATGTCCATCAGTATACTTGGAAATCCGAACACTCATGTATTCTGTCCCTAATTACTTTCGCAGTGTCACCATCGTCGTCACTGCTTTCACAAAGCGCATCCAACCGTGGGCATGGAGGTCTCAATGCTCGTCTCTGGCTGGAAGTCCAGGTGCGCATAGTTCGAGTGGTCGAACGACCTTCGTTCTCTCGGCCGACCCTCAGCAGACCACCGGCCTGGAGATGGAGACCACAGAGAGACCACAGAGACATCCTTTGACCCAGAGACCTCCTTCGACCAAGAAATCCTAAGACCTCCCACCAAGGGATTTCAAATGACTTGGTGGATTCTTGCTCTTGCCATGGGTCTCGGTCTCCCAATTCTAATACACACGCCGTGCTTCCATGGGATGGAAGATCACGAGCAGTGGCCGTGAGAAGAAACGCACGACATGTTGAAATGCTCGAGCAGTGCCAGGCCAGCCGTTTGGTTTGAGGTCCAGGAGCAGTTGCTCATTTGGGCAGCAGCGAGCTTATGGATCATCCCTCATGTCAAGGACCGAACGGAGCATTGTTTTACTGTGACAAAGAGCGCGAAAGACACATGCCGATGCTACTCAATTGTTTGCGCGCACGTTGATGCACACTCTGGATGTCGTTTTGTCGAGCACAATCACGGCTTGGCATTGGTGAAACAGAGGGATGAAAAGGGACAAGAACCGAAGCATCATGTTCTTATACATGGATAGGGTCAAGACCTGGACCCCGAGAGTAATGTCCCTTGCAGAATATTCTGTTCATGTGGTAGTCAAGCAAGGTGCCACGGTTTTGGCCCACTGCCATATTTGCTCAGGCTGAGTAACAGCAGAATGAGTCCCACCGACGGAGTGCGGGAGTGCTCAGGCTGAGATGTTGACCCTGCTGTGCAACCTGCGTCTTTCAGGGCTGCTAGCCGCTTGGCCAATCCACTGTCAAGGAGCGAGGTGACAAACGTCCCACAGCTTGCATGCAGATGAGTCAACACGGTCATTGAAGCTTTCAGGCTTGTTTTGATCGATCGCTTTTTGGGCACTGGAAAATTGCATGATATCTCATGGTCACTGGCAGTCTCATGGCCAAAAACAACCGAGCATCTAGTTCTCTCCTGGTAGAGTTTAGATGGATTCCTCGGGTGTAGATGGGTCCAGTTACGATTTGTCACCCACTCAACGCGCGGTGTAGGGAATCAGTTCCCAAAGAAACGTGCGTTTGTTCAACGCCACTGGCGCGTAACTGGACAGCAGAGACGAAGCACTTGTTTGTTGATTGCTCGTCATCCCTACAGCCACGCTGCTTCGGTGTAGATTGCAGCTGAGGCGCTCGCCGGTTACTTCACTGGAGACCATTTGTGCAGGACCAAGCGATCGTCTGTAAGTCCATTAGGCAGTCACTTCATTCTTTCTCTTCGTCTCTCACTGTCTCTCTCGATCTCTCTATCCCTCTGTCTTTCAATGAACTGGATAAGCAACTTCTCCTTTGATTTGTCTCCACAGGACTTGCCTCGGCATTAACTCACTCCTGGCCCGGGAACCCCAGTTCATGCCGATGAACAAACGGATGATTTCATTCAGATAACGGCTGGGCTAAGGCACTCAGATCCTCCTCCAAACATCTCAATTCAATTCTTCTCAAATCATTACTGTTTGGTCGAAGAGATTCCGTGCGTCCCGCTACGCTTCAAGCCGGAGAAACAAAACACCAGGAAACGACGAATCATTGGACGAATTCTGGAACCCACCAGAAGAACGGATTTGGGCAGACCATTTGGTTCCGCCAGGTCCGTGCGCCGCGGTCCGGGGCTGCTTGGTTCCATGTTCGACCCGTTGGCACCACCCGGTTGAGGTCATCGAGTGGCCTTTGCTGGGCCGTAAGCCGGACATTTGGTCCTTGACGGGCTTCATGATGAGAGCCAACAGCCCAGCACAGATCCTGAGGACGAGAAGAAATCCGTGGGGGTTTGACATTGGAGTAGTAGTAGTAGTAGTAGTAGTAGTAGGGAGGAACGATGTTTTTAGTCAAGAGTTCTAGTATTCCTCGAGTGGATGGAGGAGTCTTCACTGGTGGAGGTAGGGTACAGTATGCAGTATGATCAGCATGTTCATGTCGGGTTGCTTCAAAGGTGCTTGGCTTGTTGATGTGGCTTGTGAAACCCTTTCGCATCCTTTCATCAAAGGTGGTTTCTAACACTATAACCACCATGGGGCTGACGCCAGTGGCTGCTGGCACTCAACAGGAATGTCGTGGCCAGCTCATTGATCTACCAAGCTTTGGGGGCTGCTCGGATGCGAAGAATATGTAATCACTGGTGGGAGGAGAGCGTCACTGGGGGTCAGGTGGGGAATGGGCCAACCGAGGTGGAGAGGCGACACATAGTGCATTGGCAAAATCTGATCAACTCAGCTGGTCTCAGAGACACAGTGGGCAAGCTGGACCCAAGTGTGGATGTCCGGCTAAGTGCTACCTCCCCTGGAATCAAAGAGCTCGTTGCAAACGAACCACAGGAGATCCAAACGTATCCAAACCATGGAAATGATTGGACATGTGTTTGTTTGAACAAGTTTCTTCTGAACATTAAATTGACCAGGTACGTATATAGTAGGTCAAGGTGGCACCTATCATGCACGGAATAGTTTGTGATTGGTCGACATATGGAAAGTGGTTTCATATCAAGATGCAAAAATGATTCATCGTTTGAACGACATTGCAGAATAGCTTTTGCATGCTTTTGCCATCTTTTGTCAGAATAGTACAGGGGGTAGGCAAGAGGGAGATATTCTATTAGGTTGGAGGCCATCGCTACTAGGAGGCCATTACTACTAGTAGCAAGAAGCTCCTAGTAGCTTCTTGCTACTAGTAGTAATGCGCTTGTTACTAGTAGCGATGCCTTTCATGGCATGTCTTGGCCTGGAAACAGTCACGACACGCGGAGAACGCCTCACGCGAGTCGGTCAGACGCCCACATCAGTTGGTGTCGGCACTGGTGAACCTGGTGACGATTGTGCTCATCTTGAAGGCCACGGAGAGACAGACGGGGTTCGGCAACACACGAACGGTGGGTGCCTAAACCGTAGAACAGCGGAGCCTGATCTTGCTGAACTTGGATTTAGAAGAGGATCGGACTCTTCCGCGATATGTTCACCTTGCTGTTTGCCACATCCGCATCACGTGACGTTCACCAACACGAGGGTGACGGTCAAGTGACGGTCATTCCGTTTTGGGATCATTTGGGCTATTGTGTGCAGCATGAACGGTTCGGCCATCACATAGGCTTGCCTGAGATCGCCGGCAAAGACTTCACATAAGTCATCCTGTACATTACCATGCAGATGTTTCCAGAATGCAGGCATGAACCGCACGCAGGCTATACCATTAAAGCAGCATCCAGCCAACTAACAGTAAAAGGAATGTTGGGGATGTGTGTTAAATGCTAAACGTTAGATGATGTCAACAGTGTGTATAATGTCTACATGTGGTTAATCAATAGGGGGTCTACCTTTCTGAAATGACCTCAAATAGTCTTTAAAACTGTTTTAGTATTGGTAGTATTGACTTTAACGTTGTTGGAATTACATGGATTGAATTGGATTAGTAAGGCATCCAACGGAAATCCAGGTCCAGTGGTAAAAACATGTGTTTCTCTTTAGGGTATCCAAACGTATCCAAACATGCCTTTGATCCTTTTTGTTGAATTCTTCTTGGTTTTGTATGGACCGTACAAACGGGAAGTGACCATGGAGCCCGTTGGATCCTGTTGGACTCTTGGAAGATCGCCTTGGACTTCCTCGCACGAAGGAAAAACCGCAGGTCTGTTTGACGGAACGGCGGAACGATGCAGAACGGCATCGCAGACTTCTCGTGTCAATCGGTGTCACTCGCCTAAAAGTTGTCAAGTTATGGAATGGAAGGTCAGGGACGCATGTGGGAGCAACACCGATTCCTACTCGTACATGTGGATTGGAAGCTTCTTAGTGAGGATCTAGTACTTTCCGTTTAGATCATCAGGCTTGCTTTCCTCCTTGTTGTGCATGTGGGACGATTGAATATCCTGCGCATTGTACAACAAAGTTTGCAGACATATGAATCAATGTGTGCAAGCATGGCATGTCATATGTGGCATGCATGTGTATATATATATATATATCCAGTGTTTGTATGAGTCTATATCTTACATGTAATATCTACACTGCCAACAGTTGAACTGGCTATTCATTGTCAGGCGGCCTTCCTAGATGCAAGATGGGTGCCAGTGGCCATCTTGCCAGCTGAGGGGAAGTTGAAGAAAGCTTGACTCTTGCACTTTGTGATTGCCTTGGACGGCTCAACAGATGTAGTGGCAAATCTCACCAATGGCAATTCCACGTCCTTAAGCCATGTGCACTGCTGCTGAAACGTCCAAGAGTCTGCGTCCAGCTGCGCTCAGCTTTCCAGTTTCCCCCGAAACTGAGAACAAAGATTTCTCTGCACGAAAGCCGAAGGAGAGAACAAAAGAATACGAGAACAGAAAGTCTACCATAGGTTTATGGCTGGCACAAAAAGCAAGTATGTACCATCTATATGCCAGGCATATATGCTATCCACAGATATCCACAGGTATTCAAGACATTTACTCACCTCAGAAGGAGATACCAGTAAAAATATCTGAATCAGGGTTCTTTTAAGTTTCCTTGTTTCTTCTCGTTTGGGTCAGGATGTCTTGCAAAAGGGCTAAACAGGTTAATCCTTGCCGCCAATACTTGCAGCCGGGTTTTGTCGGGTTCCACAAGTTGTGTGAGGGAATGTCAAGTTCACTAGTACTTCTCTCATATGTTTGGTTCGCAGTCTATGGTTGAGGACTAGATGGACAATTCTCCACCATGTTTCACTCGCGTTATCGATAGGGAAACTCAACAAAATGACATCTCATCTCATGTCCTGACAAGCCACAACTGAGCCACTACCATCGCTCAACCCAAGCATGGAGACGCCTGGTGGTGGGAATGTATTTCGGTTTGTGATGTGTGTGCGGGCAAGGAGGCGAAGATCGCGTTTTTCTGCTGTCGAAGGAAGAACTTCACCAGCTGACACAGAGGATATCAATAGGAGACCCCTCATATTCCACCATTTACATTTTACATCTGTTTTGTGCCCGTCATGTGTTCCATGACAGCGGAAACACCGGATCAGCCTTCACCCTCCCACTGCTGGACACCCGCTGGACGCCTTACCACGCCATTATCACCCGTCGTCGCCGTCGCGCAGGATGGGGGTGTCCGATTGCTGTGCGCCGCCGTGGAGCTGGTGACCTCCTTCCAGCAGGTCGGGTCTCGGGATCGAAGGGAGGAACAGCCACGGGATCGGTGCTGCAGCCGTTTTCTGGAAAGATGTGTGGGAAACCAATTCCAATCTGAGATAGAATTCACTCTTCTATAAATCGAAAGGCGGTGAACGAAATCATGTTTTAGATATGCTGGACAAATCTTCTTGTGGCATGGATCGCGAGTCCTGCTGCTCATCCTTGGTTGGCGGCTCACTTTCTTTGTTCCAGTTTCTGGTCCAACAGTGCGGACCCTGGTAGTCTTGAGATCTCCAGGACTTTCTCAAACTACGAGTGGACATGATATGACTAGGAATTCCATTGGATTCCGAAAACTACTATTGGATCTCCAGTCCGTGGGAAAGACAATCTATACATCAACTTCACCCGCCGCTGTTCCAACTGCACCGAGCCACTGGGCGTCGCCGGCGTTTAGCAAGCCGCCCGCGGACGCGCCAGGCTTGGGACGAGGCGGTCGACCGACCGGTGGGCAGTCGACCAACGGCCATCCGGAGGTGACACAACGAAGGTCACCCGGGGAAAGTAATTGATATGAGATATGAATTGGATCTCAAAAACGCTCGGGCAGGTGGCATATGATAGAATATTGTACTCGTACATATTACAGTATACAACATGTATATAAGTATATGTATGCAAGTAATATATATATATATACAATTAATTATATATAGTGCTTAGTGTTTACAGTTATAGTATAGTTATAGTTAATGTTTACATGATATTATGTGCAGTGTATATATATTTATATTCTCACAACAAACTGAACTGAACCAACCAGCCAGTGAAATTCCAATTGGATGTTGAGGGGACACGAAAAAAACAGGACGACGCCACGTCGTCTTCGACACCTTGGTCGACGGTTTGTGACGATTCGTGACGCCCCCTTTGTCGCCAGGAGCCCCAAAGCAAGTGTTTAGACCAACACCTCTTGGTACGGAAGTGAAGGAACCTTGGGTGAAAGCGCTCGTCTACTTGTTCGATGTCCTATCAGAGTACCCGCTGTATCTCTAGCCCTAGGCCCTAAGGATCCGAGCCCGAACTCATGGAAACGCTTTGGTTCGGGTCCAGACCCCTGCTATTTTTGTGTCGAAGGATTCTTAGGGTAGACAACTGTGGAAGCCCTCATTTGCTTCCTCCTATGTTTTGATACAGAGATGGTACAGCCAGGATCAGCCAGGAAGCATAACCTACCACTGCTTTCATCAATATGTTATGTGCCGTCCTTCGATGTTTGAGTCTCGGCACCTAACGATCAGCAGCAAAATATAGAGGCTGTTTCGAATCGAATGTAAACGGCAATCGTCATATGTCAAAACGTTTATATAAGTTCTTTGTTTCCTCTTGGGCTACAATTACAAGATAAGCTTGTGTAGACGTGCGCTTGAAAGGTTGAACACACCCTCTGCAAGTCACTTTGTTTTCGCCAACAACATGATGCTAAAAACCTTTAGTTTCCCGATGTCTTCCCGATGTTTCCTCATGCTTTCCTCAATTTCTCGGAAACATGATCTGTCATCATCACCAAGATACATGACAGGTTTCAGACCCACCGTGTCGTCTTGCCCCGGGTCGTCACCACACCGTCACCACACCGTGCCGTCTCTCTCTACTCCGTGTGAATTCAGCCATGTGAAGCCTTTCTCCCGTCAGGTCCACCGAGATGATCGATGGGTTGGGACACCCGCTCCGGGTCCCACGGTCCGGGTGACGAAGCGTCGTCCGTCCGCGGACTGGGACGGACGAAGTAGAGGTCATTGCTGGGCCATATGTTTGTCCGCTCATGTTAAACAAAGACCATCCTTGAGAGATGGAAAATTACAGTAGGAGAGACTCTGAGATTTAGAGCGTATTTGTTCGTAGGATTTGATTCGTAAAGGTCGATGATTTGCAGCAGGGTGAGTCTTTTGAGAGATGAACACCATGCTACCCACGCCTGTGGCTTCTTTGGAATACACCTCCTGGCCTGGCAGAATGGATATTCTGTGGGAGTAGGACATGTGCTTTGCATGTGCTTTACCCACAGCTCAAAGGGGGTTGTATCAAAAAGGGGTTGAGCCGTCCGTCTTTGTTACCTTCAGTGAAGCTTGAGGATCTGAGCGTGTCAATCCAGGACTTATATAGTGTTTTTAAGGGGAGGCATGGGGAGGCCAATATCAGCCTGTTGTCCTCCCTGTTTTTTGGTCTTACGCGTCATTAAAGTACATCACTGTTAAGAGGGATAAAGAGACAAAACCTTGTCCAACAGTCAAAAATGACTTCTCCGCCCACATGGCCGCTGTTTCCGCCGTGGCAAGTAGACACTAGAGCTGCGAAGTCCTGAAGTCATTTTATGGTTGCAATCGAGACCTGATGCGTGCACTCCACCAAATACCTTTCTGTAAGGTCAAGAGTTGTAAAAACATGGTTTCGATAAGGAGACCCCTGTAAGCTCGCTAGCCAATCTAAGAGCTGCGAGTCTGCACCAGTCTGAGGCCCGCTTCCTTCCACTATCCTCAGTGAGAACAAGCGCAAGGTCTGAGGCAGGGCAGCTGTCTTCGATGTGAGTTGTTGGAGCGAAGACACAATCGCGGGATGCAGGCCACGACTATATATATATATAGAGAGATAGTATAAATTGATATAAATTCTAATATGCAGATAAACACATATACTGGTATGTTCCGGCCTCTGACTCCTAGATATGTCATGTTATGTCACAGTGCACTTTCAAGACCATTTGACCCATAGCCTGCAGGGATCAACAGCAACTGCTGGTGACAGATACCAGGTTACTAGATATTGAGAAGTTGGAGAAATCAAGGACTCACCCTGTAGTTGACATTTGTTTTGACCTAAACTTACATTCATGATTCAATATTATTCATAAGTTTTACATGATCGCTGCCGTTTGTACCGTACCTCCTGCGGACGAACAGCTTCGAAAGAATCCAAAAACTATTCTCGGGCGTATCTCCGAAGAAAAAATATAAAACTACATCCAAGCAGAGCCAACCACGACAGGGCAGGATGTCAATTCTGACTTCCAAGATGACTCAAGTTTCAAGGCTGCTAACATTTGCTAAAAAACTATAATCAGATGTTAGCAGTTTGCTGTTAAGAATCCCAACATTTGCTAGCCAAGTCCAACAAAGTCTGGGAACATCTGCTAAGGATCCGATTTGCCCATCACCATCTCCGCGCGGCCAATTCACCACCTTTCACGCGGTCTCCGGCCGCTTCGGGCCGCTTCGAACCGAGGTCTCCACCGCGCGACGGTGGGGCGGCCTGGTTCGTTCCTTCGAGGGTTCGGTCCTGCATGAAGGTACCCTCCAAACCCTCCCCAAACATCCCCAGACACCTTGTAAGGAGGTACTTGGAGCCCTAGGGTTACACATCAATGAACAAATAGGTCTCTTTGTTTTGGGGTATGTGGACCCTGCCATCGTGAGAAAAGGAAACCGTCATCAGCATCTGAATGAGAAAAGGACACCTGTTTCAGGCCTGAGGTGTTCGGCTGGTGAAACCTGGCCATTTCCTTTGCAGATGTGTATTCCATTGAATTCCATCCGACCGGACGCGGTTCCGTCGAACCCAACGGGCGACGTCTGAGGCGTAAGTTCACTCCCAGGAGGTCCTTTCCGTGAGAGCCGAAGGATTCGGCAGGATGAAGGACGTTTTCCCATGTCTTTCTGAGGCATCAACTACCAGCTTCACCAAAATGGGACAAAAGCCAGAAAGTCGATGAAACAGGATGAGACTAGATGATTATATTATATCATATCAATAACAATAATATGGATGCGTATTAAAATGGGGAGAAGAAGGAAAGTAGAACAATAACCCATTGGTTAGGGGTCTCCAAATTAAGCTACACACCCACTTATCAACAACTTCGTTCATTCTCCGAAGTTGTTTTGTCATGTCTTTCAACTTCACACAGATTCAGATGGTGAGAGTTTGCACTGCTTGCCTTGGCCCAACGGCTGGCCCTGGTCACAGCTTTGTGCATCCTCTGAAAATCTCCATCGCCCTCTGGTCGAATTGCATGGAATATTGAGAGCACGCAACTGGGCAACTATCCAAATTTCCAGATCAACAGGTCGAACTGGCACATATCCTGTAAATGTCGTCGAAACATGTGAAGAGTGATCAAAGGACTGGCGTGTTTCCTTCGACCCATCGGCCCTTGGACCGTAGCTTCAGATGTTCAAACTTGACCTTGGAGACCTCGACGCCAAGAAGTTCCAATTCGACCAGCGAAACTTTGGGCAGATTCGGTCCGAATCACAGCGAATGCCACAGCCACTCAGTGAGTGATCGACGACTCGCGAACGCGAGCGAAGTGAAAAGGCTCCCTGACTCGGGCCGGTCAGATTGAGTGACCGAACATCGTGCCACGTGAGTTCGCCTATTCTTTGAATGCCGATGTCTCTAAAGTTCAGATTTTTCCACTGTATGTCCTTCTGAGGTCAGTGACCCTGTAAAATGCCAGTCATGTGACTCTGTAGAATACGCTTTGGACCCCTCATTTTATAGAGAGGGTATTGTTTTACAGCTTTTGAGAAACCTTTGACAGCACTTTAAATTTAGAGAGGTGGTTGTTGCTTGTTCTGGTGGCCTTTATTGGCATGCCTTGTGAACCTTGACAAGCATTTATAGATGAGTAGGGTGCTGTAACAGTGCACTTTTTATGTGGTACTATACACAGAGATTTGGTTTTGCTTTTGTAAAATCAATGCTGTGAGAGCATGTGGATCTGGAAAAGCATTTTATAGAGATATTGGGTGTTGACATGTGTAGCATCTCGCATCGCTTTTCCCAGGTGAGGAGGAAAACAGGAGAAAGACAATAAGGGACAGGAACCACATATATATAATTGTCTCAAAGTTTTCTTGAAATTCTGGAAGAGGCTTCAAAATGTTAACAAAATGCAAAGGAGAAAGGAACTAAAGCCACACACACAAAAGTGACATATGAAAACTTGCCAAAAGTCATGTGCAAGTGTTGATGAACAGTTGACAACAATTCTTTTGCAGACATGATTGTCAAGTCTTCCGTAAGAAGCGGCACGCAAGGAATTACGATGGTGGCGCTAGAAAAGCCGCCAGATTGGCGCTAGATTGTCATACCCAGGAGTACCCTTGCTAGAAAGAATGCCTCTTTCTGATCTTTGATGGGTCTGAGAGGGCATGTGTTTTTTGAAAAGATCCAGCTCCACTAGGGGGCTAGCATTTCAAGGAAAGATCCTGGAATGGATTTCATGCTGCAGAGGTTTGCTAGCATGCAGTGGTTTGGCTTGCTTGCTGGAAAAGCATGCAGCAAATTACAATTTGTCTCAGATATTATGCGCTAGGTCCGTGCTAGCACGGCGCTAGCAGGAATGAACCAGAATTGTCCCGTAAGCCACGCACATGAACAGCAGAAGAAATAAGAAATCACAACAGCAACTCCAAGGTCATCAGATTAAAAGATGCTGCGTCACGTACATGAAATCTAGCCCACCTGATACATTTCTTTAATACAAGACTCATTTACCTGCCTGTGGGACTCTTTGTATTCAACAAACATATCAGCCTAAAAGTATCTTGCTTCAAAGTGGGTGAAGGGTACTGAAGGAAATCTTCCGGACAAGCTTGGTGGGACCAGGGAGGCTCATTTTGCAGCCAGAGGCTCAGGCAGAGAGAAGCTCGAAATCTTGATGTGCCAAGACCTAGTGGCATATAGTCGATACAATCATGCTGCACCTCCTAAATCCACGCTGCTAGCGTGCAAGACTTCCGCTTAGAATTTTGCTTGTGATCCAAGCAGACCCATTGGCTGACACCACGCGCAGCCCCCAGATCGCTTTCGCGAGCCGACTTGGGATGCACATCCAACGGGCCTTCTTTAATAGGGCACCACCGAAATAAGAGCAGCTTGGATTGTCTGAGCCACCGAGTGATGTCCTGGAAGCGTTTGAAGGTTGCCAGCACATGCCTTTGAAAGCATATATCGGTCCACTCTGCCAGTGAGCAGCTCAGGCCATGTCAAACGGCTTGGCGGTGAAAGGCGCTTGCCTGAGCTTACTGGAAATGGTGGAACTGTGGAAATGGTGGAACTGTTTTCAGTTGTTGCTTTCGCTGCAGCTTTTGGCATCCAACGGCCTAGTTATCCAGTTATCCTATGTGACATATCTCAAATTCACAACGAGAGGCAGAACGTCCGCCCGAGACAGCTATTAGTTATTCGTCTACAATTTGACAATTGTTTAGGCACCGAGCAGAACCACTGCTAATCAGAGACTATTCTGTTAGGTAGTAGGCAGCAGTTTTGGCGGAATCGCAAAAAAGGTTACCGGTTACCATGTGCTCCTGTTCCGCATGTTTGCTCTCTGGTCGGATTGGTCACCCTGAATGTGAGTTAGGGGCATGGACGTTCACCAGTCTGGTAGCATTGATTCCAGTCCCAAAATGGCCTGATCGAAATCACATCCACGACCCTTTTTCTGGTCTCCGGCCAGGTCGAAGCGCCGAGCATCCGGTCGCAGCTGATTGGAAGCCGGATTTGAGGTGCACGCCTTGCTAGTTTCCTTGAACTACAAAATGTTACATAATTGAACAAATCAGAGTTGAATACATAGGTTAAATACCAAAATGGCAGGGAGAGCGACTGTACCACAGTTCATTTGGACGACGGTTCGGGTCCCCGAAATTCCGTCTCAGGTTTCGGAATTTCGTCGTATTCGTTTGGGGGATGGAGAGCAGCATTCTCGGACTGGGCTTTGGTTGATGAGGAGACTCTTGGACTGAAAAATATCATCAGCTACCTCTAGATAGGTAGAAGAGTCTTTGGACATCTAGAATTAAAAGAAAGAATGTGCACATCTTCAGAAGTTGAGAAGTAAAGTATCGTTGCTGGAGAGAAAGGTACTGGATCATAGGCATGGCCTTCATGGCCTTTTAGCATCCTGTTTTACGTTTTGCTCCTCAACTCCTAGTATGTACTTTTGCCCGCTTGAAGGCCGACATGAGCAGTGAACCAGCCCATCATAGCCCATCTACACTTTGCCAAGAAACGCTGACCCTGACAGCGCAGGGGCAACCTCTATGAGATCAATGAATACCTTGAAGAGCAAGGTGTTTATGACATCTTCGACTATTTGCTGAAGGAGCGTTGCAGTCGAATAGGACACGCAGGTGTTTCAATCAATGGCATTCAATGGCATGACGTGCGTGGGCGGACTCTTTGCTTGGCATGTGCCTTAGTGCCTCCCACACATGGAAGTTGTCACAAATTGTAACAAGTTGTATCTACTAGGAGCAAGGACGCTACTAGGAGCTCCTGGCTTTTGACCAAGACCTCAATCAACAGGCTTTTTCTTCCGCTCACATCACTCCCATCTTCACCAGGACCTCATGGTCAAGCAGCCCGAAAATCCTCTGAAACATATGTATGGCTCTTGGACATGAAAACCTCTGGCCGCGATCCGTGTGTTCGCTGCGCAATGCGCCGCCACCGTGCTGAGGCTCGCTTGCCTGGAGAAGGGCTATCCGACCGGGCCCCTCAAGGCGAGAGTGGCAAGAGGGGCGGACGGCAGGGGAATGAACCAAGGCACCGGGACGAAGCAAAAACGGACATGACGCTGGGTGGTCACCAGCAGCGTCATGACAGCGAATGAAAAAGGCCAAACATTTGCAGAACAATTGTTAATTGCTCGCGCAAGTATCACATGCGAGAAGAAAAGGAACAGTTGCCTGTGAGGTGTGAAGCGTCACTGCTCATGATGTGAGTGGTGTTTCAATGTGAGACTTGAGCCGAATTATTGTGCTAGTTACTGTATGTGACAACCTGAGTTTCAATGATTCTGAGCAACAGTCGCCAACCTTGGCCGCTCCCAACAAATCCCTTGTGTGTGTGTGTAGTTGTCCGTTGGGAGAGAGTGATTCGAGTCCATTTGCCGGTCGATTTCTAGAATCCAAGCGCTTGCAGACTTGCATGCACAATGCAAAGTGTCCTTTGTCGAGGTCATAGTGTCTTCACCACCGGGATTAGGCATCTTGGTTGCAGCTGTAATCTTCGATCCGTTGACTATCTAAACATCATGGACCTGAACACAGACCTCTCAATTGGTTTCTTTCAAATTTGGTTGCAGCATCGTGGAACCCCCAGAACGACGGCGACTTGGTCGGCTTGTGCGAAGAGAGACCACTCAGCTTGGTGAGGTCTTACACTGTTTGGAAGGGCAACACCGCGAGTTCGTGTTGGTGTGTGTGGAATCAAATTTGAGCTGTGCATTCCCTCTCTATTAGTTGTGGCTCCAAATATATAAAGAAAACAAGTCATTCCCAATCCAGGACACAAGGCACCTTTGATTTTGATCCGCAGCTTTTTTGATGAAGCACAACATAGCACAACTGTCGGCGTTTGTTTTTCGCACTCGAAGATCGACCGGTCTCCCGACAGTCTGGGTACATCGATGTACGCAAAAAAGAGTCCATTCACCAAGGCAGGCAACTGATCCAACCTCATATTTGTGTGTGTGCAGGAAAACAACCCGGAGGTCCAGCTGTCCAGCAGATTGGATGGGATTTGAACCACTCCACCGGACGGAGTGGCTCAACACGGCCGGGCCGTTTCTTTTTGTGCCAGACCGCACGTGTGGCGGTCGGTCTTCGTGCGGTCGTGCGGGGGTGATGGCCTTTGGTTTCTTCATAGTCTCTCGTTTGGCTGTGGGATGCTGTGGGTGATTGTGGGTGAAAGCAAAACCGTCAAACCCAACTGCTACCTAATACATCCTAATACTACAAGGGATTGTGCACTCTTCGATCTGTTTTTCTGCTCTCCAGGTCACATGACACTCATAGGCATTGGGTTTGTGTTCAATTGTGTTCAAACAATATGCACAAATATAAATCTGCATGCAAATATGAACACCACTGGTTTCAAGACATACATATATACATATATATATACACTAATTAGTGATTCTCACGTTCTTTTTCATGACACGGTCGTCCGCCCGCTGCGGCTGTCCCCGAGGTCGAGGCGAGTTCGCCAGGAGTGGCGATGATGGGTCTATAACTGGGGAACCCTGATGAAAGCACGGACTAGACATGAACCTGGGATATGATCCAGGGTCCCTGGGGCTGGAGGCGACTCGGCCTCACAGCCAGGTGTGTATTGGTCTCCCACATCCATCTCCCCACAGCTTCGGTGCTTGGCCTCCGGTGGTTCGCCTTCGGTTGGGGCGGGAGAAGCCGCCTTCCACGGTCAAACGTGGGCCGGTACATCAAGTCGATTCGACATGAGATTGGTACAGCTGTCATGCGGACCAAACGTGGCCTAAGAAGTTGAACTGATCTGATGCTTCAGTGTTCGGTTCGCTCCGAACGCGCTCACCGAGACCTCTCTCCGAGACCTCGAGATCGCTCCACTGAGCGGTGCACCGTGACTTTCTCGGAGCGGTCGAGGAGCTTGGCAGAGCGCTTCGGACTGATCTACGTTGGGGCTGGGGAGCTGCTCCGGGAAGCCAGCGCTGCTCGGTCGCTGTTGGGAAGCCAGTGCAACTGTGGGGAAAATTCCAGGTGGAAAAGGACTAATTAGTGTGTCAGTTGATCACCAAGATTCCATGTCAGTCGGGCAGACTCGGGAACTGTTAAGCTGTAGGGTGGGGTCATAGAGGTAGACACGATTCGTGCTGCTATTATTCGCGTCTTTAAGTCTTTTTGCTAGTTGTGACACGGTCATCCCAACAAGCTGTGCCCACTACATGGTCAACCTGGCAGGCAGGTTCCCGGAATTCATTGACAAAATCCGACGAATTGGTCCATCGAAAAGACCCGTCGATCTGATCAACAGAGCCTCCGCAACGGAAAACCCACGTCACCCAGTCCGCTGTTCGGTTCAAACGACCGAGAGAAGAGTCCTACGACCTATGACCGGAGTTGCTGGTGAAAGTCTTCCAGAGATCCTCCAGTGCTTGGCCCCCTTTGTTTAATGCCCTGATCCCAGTAGGTCAAGCACACAGGATTTTCCAGATGATATTGGGTGTTGGGATGTGTTGGGTCATGTTCCGGTGTTTTCCCCATATCCTTTCTTGGCTGCAAAGCCATTGGCTAAATTCAAAGCCCCTCGCAATCCGTGAAAGGGTCCTAAGTCATGTTCCCTGAGCTTTGATCGATCCCGTATCATGATCGTTGATCAATCCCGTGCTTGGAGACCCTTGTATTTGTATGTATTTGTAAGATGTTGTAGGATAGGTGTTGGCCCCCTCCGGAGCAGTTTGTAGCCTTTCTTCGTTCTTCGCAACAGGCAGAACGGATCAGAACTATGTAGAACTGTAACACTCTGTGTTTCAAGTGGTCTTTCAAGCGCTTACAGAGTTACGTACAGTGTTACAGAGGATTGACTCGAGATCATCTCTTTCTGACCTTTTTCTCACGATGATCGCCCTTGCGCCCTAGCTTGATGAGTCCGCATGGAGGAAACTGTGAGATAAAGACCAACCCAAAAACATCCAAAACCCCAAGCTGTTTAGTATGAATCAAATGCCAAATCCCAAGACAAGTGATGCCTGCAGGTCCCTTCACTTGACAAAATTGAATAGTAGTCGTACGCAGTGTGTAGTAGGATTCGCCACAATCTGGGTACACGTCGCTTAGTGCACCAGTGCGCTGTCGCTGTGCTACAATAATATGTGGTAGTTGATTGAAAGGTCGACATAAGGCCCATGTCATCAAGAGCCTCTTTATGTTGTTCGCGAAGGTTTATTTCCGAGTGCGAAAGTAAACATGTTGTTTCGCGATACATCCGCGAAAGATACTATTTTTACTATCCCCTGCCCAATAAACTATAGAATCTGAGAGCTTGAGCTCAAAATGACCCTCAGATTTTATAGACAAGTTTCTTATAGAATAGAAAAAATATTTAACCTACCTGAAAAGACACATGTTAAACATGGGATCCCAAAAATGTCCGTTTTTGTTTGTTCTCGCAAAATGGGTGCCGACATTTCATTCTATGAGAGGGCACGACATGTCACCAGATTTTTAGAGGTCCCAACAAATTTGATTGTATAGAAAGCATTTGGAGTAGTAGTAGTAGTAGTAGCAGCAGTAGTAGTAGTAGCAGCAGGGCAAAACCAACCTCTTGGGCCACTTTTGTCCAACATGTGTCTAAAATCAATTTCAACCCTGCATTGTCCAAACATGTCTCTATAAATTAACAGCCAACCTCTTGGGCCACCTTTGTCCTGTATTTTTTTACCTTCATATGTCCCCACACAGAGAACATGTTTCCAGCACTGCAGGAGGTTGATATGTGATTCTATGGTGGGGCAAACTGCCCTCGCAGGGGATATTTCTACTTTATATTCGACAGTTGCTTCCTTTCATGCTTTGTCCTGATGCTTCAAGGGGTAGATCTACACATGGTTTAGCTCTGAAATGGTTCAATATCACTTGTAGTTTTGTTTGTTTCTGATTCTTCAAGGCAAAACCATGTTGAGCCAATTCTCATTCTTTTGGGGGGGCGTCGTTTTCTTGGAACTATCGCCCAATTTAATCAAAATGTTTCCCTCGACGTAGTATACCAAAGACAACGGACGCTCAGATGTATACATATATATACATCCTTCACTCGGGAGGAGCTTTGACCCACACACAGTTATATATATGTTTTGCACAGTGCATGGCTCACACTTACCATGCAAAATCCCTGTAGACAGAAACCCACTAATGACGGGGCATTTGTTTGCGAAAGTTCCGTGAAAGCATTTGCGAATTGTTTTGTAGACCCCTGCCCACGTAGCCAAGGACTGATTCCACAATATATAGAGGCGTGCCGTAGCCTATGCCAGTGTTCTCCGAGCTAAGCAGAGAAGGGCCTAGCAAGACATGAGCATGACAACAGGATGACAACAGCTACCTATGTAACGTTTCCAGTGAAGTGTTTGCAACCCCTTTTTCCCCAGATACCGAAAGCCATCGCGGTTCTTACTACAACTATAGGTATAAGAAGAGTTGTTTGTGTGCGCTTTGGAGCCTGGGTGCTGGTGCCACTGCAGGGTGCTGCTGCTGTCTATGGCAGTGGGTGACGCTAGTGGGTGCTAGTGCAAAGTGCCGCTCTAGGGTGCCTGCCTATGGACGTGTGCTCTTTGGAGCTTGGGTGCTGGTGCTGCTGCAGGGTGTGGCTGCAGGATGCCGGTGCTGCAAGGTGCCGCTGCCAGATCACATCTACGTCGAATGAAGAGAACAATATATTTGGGCGCTGCCCACAGTCTTTTGTGCATTTTTGTGCTATCTGGGGCCTATGTTGGCGTAATTTTTGTGCTGTGTCACCAAGGTAGATGAGCGAACCATGGATAGTAGAGTCTTTTTCGCACATGGATAGAACAAGGTGCTCCCGTGAAAGCTAAACATGGAGTTCGCGAAAGTAAAGGTGTTTTGGCGAAGAATGGCGCTTCAGCAAAGGAATGCTGATCAACCACCATGCAACCAGCTTGGGGAAGACAGACGGTTGAAGCGGAACTCCAACTCCAAATTTTAGTTTGACACATATTGAAATTTTAGACTCCTAAGGTGGGTCCGGAACACAATACATCACAATACCGTCAATCCAAATGGTGGATGGGGAAGAGGTGGTTGTCCCGGATGAAAAGGGGTCAAAAAAAGGGGGCATGCAATCCACTTCCATGATTATAGGAGGAAGGGTATATCCTGTATATCATACACGTTGTTGATTGAGAATACCATATGAATTTCTAACTATACAGACTCATACAGACCTATTCTGATTATTCTGCGGTGGATTCATCGTCAACTGAAATTGATTGGTTTCAAGGTTGACACGAAGAATCTCAGCTCCGCTGCGGACGACGAGGCCACAACAAGCAGTTTGCCATTGTTGAAGAAGAGAAAAACACGTGGAAACACCAGGGTGCTTGTTTACAGCCTAAGTTGGTGGGAAATGTGTTCAGGTTGTCCCTGTTCCAGCCAGGAGGAGGAGGCATATTTCAGAGTAACCCAACATTCATCAACATCCCATCATCATCGGCCAAAAATTTATTGTCCTTTGCTGGTGTTGATTTGATTTTGTCAGGCATCTGGGACTTTGGAACCCCCGTTCAATTTATAGGAAGTGTGGTTCGAAGGAGGTCGCAAAAGCCATTGTGTTTCTACAACTCTGTAATGTAGTGGTTTAGCCTCTCTTAAACGGACCCGATGTAAAATGAAATGGTGCAGCAGTTTCTCACTACTAGTACAAAAAAGGTGTTGTTTCTTCCAGAACAACAGACTGGATCTTTCCGAGATCGATCGGGTCAGGGTGCGGGTCCAGGTGTTCTGAGTCGAGTCGTCGGCTGAGAGTGGGTCCAGTTGCGACACCCCGTTAATAGTCATTAATATTCCTTGATAAGATATGCAGGGGAAGCCGCTCTTTTAATGTAGACTCTTGATGAATAAAACCTCCAAAACATGGAGAGGTCTTGCAATTCATGTTTGGGGAGGTTGTCAATCAAGAGTTTGCATTCTCCAGGTGGCCAAGCTGGTCTTGGAGTTGATCAAGCAGGCCATCTTGCTGTGCGATGAGACTGCTGACACGTCCCACGTCATGTGATCCTGGTGGGAGTGGGAGGTGGGAGGTTGAATGGTGCTGACCCAATCTATGGGAAGACCTCAAAGATGTCCAAAGGCTCAAGGTGGTGTAGGTGTAGACTCTCTTATGTGTAGGGGTAGTTAGTTTTTTAAAGGACGCTATTAGGTGGAGGCCATTGCTACTAGGTTGGAGGCCATCGCTATTAGGTGGAGGCCACACCCGATCCGTTTGCATGGTGTCATCGTGTGGATTGAACCTTACCAAGCCCATTATATAGTCCTGGACGACCACCAAGTTCCAATGACATGTCGCACGCTGGGTGGGACAGGTGGGTTGGCTGCCTCACACAAGATCAGGTCAGAAGGGATTAAACTGTTTCTCGTTATGGTTGCATATTTAATCATATATAGATATCTTGCATGAGGAGTCCTAGCAGGGAAGATTCACCTTCAAACCAGAGGGTTGCGACCCATGCATTCTGAAATTCATTCTTAGGAGTGAAGGGATCAATACCGGGTCGATCTTTGATCTCAGTTCTTCACTCGAGCTCTTCGTGGCACACCCCCTTTTTTCCGGCGCGACAGGCTGAGCACAAGATGCAAGGCTTTGTATTGGATGGTTTCCCAAGGTTTGGCGCGTTTCCGTGTGGTGAGGAGTTTAAGCCTATGTGCGACTTAAACAATTGGATTGGTCGATTTTGCTTGCAATTGGTCAGGACTGCTCTATGTCAAGACACATATAGCCCAAGATGTTGTATCATATATAGAGAAAACACTACATATATATATATATATACACGGCATGTATAAGTTGTGGCTTGGAGAGGCTTGGAACATCACTTGGAAAGTTGCATTTCTGGATGGAAGAGTCATGAGATCTCAAAGGTTTGTGGGTCAGTTGAGTGGTTTCCATGCTCTTCTGTGAATACTTCTATCTGTAGGAATCCATGCCAGACGACTTACCTCAAGGAGAAATCCATCGTCGCTGCCTCGGGTTTCCTCGGGAAATTACTCGACGTAACGTCGGAATAATAGATTCATAGTAGAAGTAGATGGAATGTCGCCTTGGGTTGGAGGCCATCGCTCTTAGGTTGGCCATTGCTTCTAGGTTGGAGGCCATCACTCTTAGGTTGGAGGCCATCGCATTTAGGATGGGGCCATTGCTATTAGGTTGGAGGTCATTGCTCTGTTTTGGGATGTTGCTGGTAAGATCGCTGTAATTTACAGCTTGTGACGGACATGCCCGCCCTTGTTTCCGTTTAACTCATGACTTCTGTCAATTAAAATGCGCATGTGGTTCCAAAAAAGAATTGCACACACTAAGAACAAGAAAATGTAGAGCACATGAAGCACGTGTGAGAATCAAGCAGAATATAAAAAAAATAACCCACAAAGAGCCAGTTTAGAGTTTAGAGTTGCCTTGATGTTGAAAATCCATATGGGGAGCCTATGCTTTCCAACATACCAAAGTGGCGTGTCAAAGTCTCGCTAGTGGAACACACCCATCTTTGCAGCCCCACCCCCCGAAGTGGTCTTGCCCGCCCGATGAGCGGATGCAGACTTTTTGCACCATGTTGCTTGGCCCTCCGCTGAATGCTGAGAATGCATAAATGTAGTGTGCATATATGTATATATATACCAGAATCATATCATATATCTATATGTATATATATATACCTACACGCCTGTGCGATAAGGACATTGTATACGCGCATTGTGAAGGCATTGTGACAGCTTCAGCTTGCATTCCTGCAAGCCACTTAAAGCCAAGAACTGTGAAACAGCAGCAGCGCAAGCTAAGCATGAAGCATGTCAAATTGATTGACACGCAAGTATGAACATGAAGCTCTAAATCTACCATGTTCTTTGTCCACTATAGAATCGTGAGCGCCTTATATTGTACTCTCTTCGTTTCCGGCCTTGCCTTCTCAAAGGAGATTTGACTCGTTAACTAGTTGAACGCAGAAGTTCAATCCTCAATGATTGAAGGCCAGTAGCCTTAATTCATTTACGCAAAACAGTTCTGATTTGTTTTTCAATAGTGGAGGTGTTGTTACATGTTGGAAGTTGTTGGTATTTTGGGGTGTGCGTTCAAAACCAGGATGTCAAAGACATCATGCACCTGAAAATTGGATGATGGATACCGGAGGCATCCGGAGGCACATGTCTTTATTGGAGAATCAAGATGACACGCATGGGATGTTGCCTGGATTTTTGCAAAAAAATCAACTGATTTACTGTGTGTATTTAGGATTCATTGACGAGCTTTGTCGGAAGCATGGTCATTTGCTCGTTTTTTCTTGTGGATGCATCACATAACTAACATTTTGGCTGCAGCTCGTTAGTTGATGAATCTTCATTACCTGAAAATAGAGTTTTTGAATTTACTGTCTTGGACATGTGTGGTTTGGCAAAATTGTTGATTGTTATCGATATAGATACTGTACCATGTCATGATCTGGCAGATTGGAGTGCTTTCTCCAGTCATGGTGTTCCCGGTCCTATAAATTGGAGCCTACACAATACTGTTTGAACAGTTGAGACTGGTGATGTTCAGGGATAGGAATCAGATGAAAACAGAGTGCTTAAGCGGTACAACTTATGTTTGCAGCTACAACACTACATCGGCCCAAAGATGTGGAAAGTCCGTATTCTCAACAGACTCAACAGCATAATGGGATTCCCGAAATCCATGTCCATGATGTCAAGGGGTTCTTAAGTTCATTCATTCTTCAAAGAGGAAGAGCTCGAAGAGAAGTGTACGGCCCGTATTTTTGTTCACCAACGTGTGGGAAGCTGTCGAAGGTTTCTGTTGGATTCTGCTTCACACAGAACAACCGAGGTGCCCACGCACGTGCTTCAACTCCAGGTGTGCTTCTCAAGTTTGATGGACTGTGACTTCAGATGCCCACACATGAGCTTCAATCAGCGAAAGAAATCACCCCAAGCTGCCAAAAAGGTCTCACCCCGAGCCCAGCAGAGCTTCCGACTGGGACGAAAACCTGATGGAACCAGTCTGTCCGGCACGGTGGCCGGTGGTCTTCTTCGGCCGGTTGTCCATGTCCGGCACTCGTTCGATGTCGGCACTGTACCCCCAGGCCTCGGAAAAATACATCCAACGGCGTCAAGAAAGTCTCCTCAAGGGCGACGTCAAGGGTGAAGCAGCAGCGACACCAGAGGCGTGCGGGAAAGGAGCGAGAAGGCGACGGTGTTTTCGGCGTGTGGGCTCAAGAAGTCACATGCAAACAATTCCAAATTGCGAAACCCCTCGTAGCGTCCGATCGCTCCCAGTATAGTACGGCCAGGAGCCCCGTTCGTAACGTCCGATCGCTCCTAGTAGTACGGCCAGGAGCCCTAGTAGCATCCTTGCTCCTAGTAGTACGGCCAGGAGCCCCGTTCGTAGCGTCCGATCGCTCCTAGTAGTGATGCCAGGAGCCCCTAGTAGCTTCTGTGGGCATTTGCAAAGAAACAATTTCTCCAATCCTCTTGTCTTGAAATATGGTATCAAAACAATCCTTTGTCTTGGTCAGTATTTGGTCCTTTTTGTTAGTAGATGTTCATATCTTCTCGTGGGGCGGGCCATTGGGTCGGACGACGGGGTTGAAAACTCAGGGAAGCCGCCGCTGAAAAACATGAAACATCACCGGAGCATTTGGCAGAAAGGGGTTCATCTTCTGGTGCATGGGTGTGGTGTGGACAGGGCTGTGGAGGGAAGGTGCTAATTGGAACGAAGCATGGAGAGGGCCGATGCTGCTCCATGCTTCGCGGCAGAATTTCATTGTGCGAGTGGAGCGATCTTGCGCGGCTGATATGCTAGTTACGAGGACATGGTTGCACCACAAGCATCATTGCAGGCTGCTCCTGGTCAGTTCACAAGTAGAACGAAGCATGGGTGGGGGTAGTTCTGCTCCATGCTTCGCGGCAGCACGTTCTGACGCGAGGGGAGCTGTGTTGCAGGGCTTATATGATGGTCTTGCGTGTCCAAAATGTGCACAATGCATGCGCCGGACAGTCAAGTCATGGCCGAAACGGCAGGATTGTTGCATGCCAGCACCGCAATGCTTGAAATTTGATGCTTGGAACAAAGCATGGAGGGGGCTGATGCTGCTCCATGCTTCCTGGAACGGTTGTCAGAAGCCATGTTGCAATGGGGATTGACCAGCTGCAGAGATTGAAAACAGCCACTTGATGTATACTTTTGCATATAATACATCCAACCTCCAACCCGACTAAAAAGGGAACCGTTTTGTTTTCTTCTTATTGCAACGATATTTCTATCTAGCATCTTTGCCGGTGTAAATTCTCAAGATCGAAGCCCGCAAAGGTTTGTTCGAGAAAAACAAACGACAAATCCTCTCCTCCTGGGATATCTCCGCCATATCGACGCCCTGATCATGCCAACGATGCACGCCACTGGAAATCTACGCCAAAAAATTAAACATTAGACGACGAATGACCCGAACGCATTTTATCGCGTGTGATGCACTGTAGCGCTGGCACAGCAGCACACATGTGTGTGCTTTTCCCAAAAGAATCTCCGATGCTTGGGTTCTCGTTTAATTTAGTCGTTAGAGCGAGACGAGGCAAGCATTTTCGTGGACGGAAGATGGGTGTGGACGGGGCTATGGATGGAGATGGGAGGGTGGATGGGCAGGGACGGGGCTGTGGAAGGAGATGGATGCTAAGTAGAACGAAGCATGGGGGGCTAATGCTACTCCATGCCTCGCGGAAGAACGATATTCGCGAGTGGAACTGTCTGGCGCGGCCTATATGACGGTCTTGGGTGTCCAGAATGTGTGCAATCTATGCCGAAGACAGCCCAAGTCATTGCAGAAACGGCAGGATGGTTGCATGCCAGAGGGTTGTTTGAAGCCATGTTGCAATCGTTTTATGACCGTTTTGGAGGGCTTTCAAAACTGACCAAGGGGTGGACGGGAGTGTATATGGCAGACAGGGTGGACGGATGCGCACCAGAGCCACGATGCTTGAAATATCATGGTTGCCACGAAGCCTAGAGGGGGCTGATGCTTCGTTTTGGCCTGCTAATGTGTGTTTGTTTATTTTTACTGGGTTGCACGCTTCTTTTTGCTTTTGGGTCCGCGGGCTCACCTTGTTTTAATTGGGTCGTTCAATACCCAGGCCAAAACATGCCATGAGGAGTGGCGGACAAACAAGCAATCAGGGGGACAACCAGGTGGCAAAGGTGGTGATCCTGAACTTTTTGAACACTTTTATATTTCTCAGATTTACAATGCGATCGGGCGTTTAGCATCTGGGAACAAGTTTAGTTTTTGTGAAACCTCTAGTTTGAATTGGGATCATATGCCCGCCACCGCCCAAAGAACCAAACAATGCCACAAGAACTTTAAGCTACATTGCCTTCATGCTCAAGTCCTTCCCTGCGGCCTCTTTCAAAAGCCGGATCCCTTTTTTGGTCGCTTGTCGCGAGCACATGCCCCATGCCCTTAGCCCTGCCCTGTTCACCCTTCTTGTCGAGGTTTTAGACGCCCGCTTGAAGCTCTTCATTGCGCACAACGCCTTAGCGTCGAGTCCTTGAGCGGCTTAGGGGGGGACCGCGCAGTGGTTCCCAGCGCGGTTCAGTTGGCAGGCTTCCAGAGACAAGTGTTCCAGTATTTGGGGAGGGTAGTAGAGCCGGAGGAGAGGGCGGAGATTTCCGGTGGAAAGCATTGAGCATGACTTCATGTTTCAGATGGAACACGATGTTGAATGTTTGATTGGTGTAGAAATTTATTGGATTCTTGGAGCGTTCAAATAGATATCTTTGGAGGGCAGACGCAGACATGTGTAGACATCCTCCAACGGCTCGATCACATGCTGTGCACCCTGCAGCATGCATGCTGAGGTTGGAGGACTATGCGGATCGCACCTTTGTGGCTCAGCTCGGAGTGTTTGTTTGACCGCGAAACGATCAGTTTTAGTATTTTGTGATATGTAATAGAAACAGATAGAATGATAGAAGTGATCCAAAAACGAGTGATTTTCTGGCAAGGTATTTGGAACAACCCCCATATATAAATAACTACATAATTACTAATATATATATATATCACAATCAATTATGTCCATGTGTGGGTGTGGGAAAGTAAAAGGTTACTGTAGTAACTTAGCAGGAGGGAGCATGCCCTTGGTAGACCAGTTCATTTCTAGTACTAGGCGGATTGTGCGAGCGTGTACGTGTGTCTTCTTTGCACCCACAAAATCTACAGGATTCCAGAACTGATTCAATGCAGGCTAAACAACAACACCGCTGAGAAGGGAGAACCAGTCACAGGGTTTCATAATGTTTCGTATTTCTGAATTGAAATCCTCTTTTCTTGGATGTCCTATGTTTACTCGACTCTATTAGGTTGGAGGCCATTACTACTAGTAGCATGAAGCTACTAGCTTGGAGGCGATTGCTGGTAGGTTGGAGGCCATCACAAGTAGGTTGGAGGCCATCGCAAGTAGGTTGGAGGCCATCGCAAGTAGGTTCCTTACAGTTTGCGTGTCCTGTGCATGCCACAGTTTGGCGGAGTCGACCTAGCCGCGTCGGGCAAGTCTCGGCCGCGCTTGAGGTGGTGAATGCTGAGGCCAATGCTGCAGAGGTCCTGGCCCAAATGGTGGGGAATCCCAGCCCTGTTGAGTCAACGGGATTGAACAAGTCAAGAGGAAACCAAGAGACCCAACTTGAGTGAAGCCAATCTTCCAAACTAGATGGTTTAAGCCCTACTGAGACAATTTATATTGATTGTTAAGATTCACACCTTAAACTGTTTGACCAGCAAAAAGGGTAACATTGATATCCCATGTCGGCATCATGATTTGTTCATGCCGTGCCAGCCCAGCAACATCAAAGACCACCATGAAGTTAATCGCATGTTCCCTTTGAGCAACAGAACATGCGAGAGCAAAGCACCTCAAATGCGTTTGCTGGAGGGTCGGGTCTTTCGGGCAGCTCGTTTTGGATGTTTGATATTTGCTGGGCCTGGCCCGCACCCGAACAAAACCTTGATCATAAAGTAGCATTATGGAATATGCAGGATTATGCAGGTGACAGCCATTCACCGAATATCAACTGGTTGTATGATGTTTTGTGGATGTTTCAGGATGTTTGGCAGGTAGAACCGCATTTCGTCCTTGTGACCGGTTGCTCCCCTCCATTCCATCACACCAAAACACCTTCGTCACCGCCCCGGGACGACACGGCGACGTGTCGTCGCCACGAGCAGCTCCTCGAGTGATGTGGGTCCGGACACCGTCGTTTGACTGATGTGACGGTCGTTTCTGTGAGTTCCCCTAGGCCCCAGACAGGGAGGCCCCAGTCAGTGCTGACCATTGCAGCAAAGGAACAAAAGTTTCAAAAAAGCCTGTCGGCGACAGCATGAGATGTACAACATATAGTCACTCATTCTTGGAGAGTCTGAGAGAGTATTCAGAATGAAAAATTTGGACACATCCTAGGAAACGATATGTGGCGATATGTGGTGTCGATGTGTGATGGGGCGATTTAGTGTCCACCCCGGGTCCTGGTGATGCGTAGGGAGTCCTGATCTTTATGCTGCTACTGCTGGTCGGAATGCCGATAGAGCTGAGGAGAAAGCTGTTTGCCTTCGACCCCGTTCAAAAGCACCCTCGCCGGGCTTCCCAGGGGAAATGGGAAAGCCCAGAACCGATCACCAGCTGTTTCGTGAGGAAGATGAGATGCTCTTGTTTATACAAGGGACCAGGAAGCTTTTTTGTCTGTGGATACATTGTGCATACATTGTGGCAGCATAATTACTACAGTATGTATATTGATATGTGAGGTGATTCGCTGTGGCACTTTTCCTCGAAGCTTTTGCCTTCTTTCAGGGCAGCTTTGATCACGTCGAAGGGTGTGCCTTTTGCGTCAGGCCTCCTCCAAGGGTGGCCATTTTCGGAGCCGAAGGCGCTGGAGCCGAAGGTGTTGACAGCCAAAGCAGATTTGCTTGGGCAGGGCTTCCGAAAAGAAGGGAAATCATAGACCACAGTTCGACACATAGATACGGTGGTTGATATATTTCTTTTTTTGAGGTGACCAGGTGGTATGTTTTGCATGGCAAAGATGGGTGTGAGCAGTTCCACATGTTTAGCTGACAATTGAGGCCATGGAGGTACTATGCAGTTACGGCGGATAAGAATTCGACAGTGCAGAACAGCAAACATTGTACATGTTATGATATGATACTGTGACCAAAAGGATGGTGACAAACATGTGTACACATACATATGACATTTGGCACAAGACTGATTAGTTGCCAGTCACCAGAGCCTGTGGCTCATCCTTTTTCATGCTGTGCTCGTTCGCAGGTTCTCCTGTACGAGCCTTTGCAGCCTCTTTGTACACATGAATGATGCAGTTGCAGCATCTCCAGAAGTGACCCAATCCATGGATCACGATGAGTTCTTTTCTCACATCAATGAAGAACCAGAAAGACTTGGTTCGTTTCCTCACGCTGCACGCTGAATTCCTGAAGTGCCTGCCTATGGCGACCGAGGCTGCCGACTGTGCTCGGAAGCTGGCCATGCGAATTGGGGCCGTCTTTGTGAGTAGCCAGAAGCTGTTGAAGGAGTTGGGGCAACTCAGCAGGGAACAGAGGGATCTCCTTAATTTGCAGGCTAGACATTCGCGTTGCGATTGCGCCATTCATATTTGTGGTGATGAGTTCTGTTTGTGGATATGATTCTGAAAAGAGAAACCATGATTCTTTTATTCCGTGGCAGTCTTGCAATGCTTCTGATGATCCTTTGATCAGCCTGAATCCGTACCAAAACAAGTCCTCACTTGACGGACCATCCACCATAGACGGACCATCCGACAGTAAAACCGAAGAAGGGCAGCAGGAGTTTAGGTAGTTGCTCAATAATATTGGAACATGTTGGAGCGAAAACAAGGGTGCGCCGGGTGTGCCTAATGGAGCACTCATCACATTGCTGATTGACCCAGCACTCAAACCATGTGACAGGTTTGGAACAGAGGCGTGTTGATGAGTCCTGTGAAATGTCCAATTGGGTTGTGAAACGCCGTGAAACTCGCAGTGACACCCTGCTTTCCTTCAAGTCCCCTGCTTTGGAACACATCACAATCAGTCCATGAAGATGGGAACGCTAGGCAAGTCCAACCAATGGGGTGGAATGAGTCATACCACATTACCAGATCGCGTCTTGCAATGAAAAAGACACCCATACCGGGACCCTGAGACCCTCAGTTTGTAGTGGTGAGATCTCCCGTGCAGCTCCCACGGGTCTCAAGGGTCTCACTGTTCCTGCTCCCAGCTGCCACCGCCGAGTTTGGCCACGCCTGGAGCAGAAGACTCCACGGTGTCCTTGGCCTTGGCGTGTGCCGCTGAGAAGGCGCTGGGGAACCGATTTGGAACCTTTCCTTTTTTTTGTTCATGTTTGATGTTACCACCAAAATCAAGAACGGCAAAGGTGGTAGCAGAGCCAATCAAAAGTGGCGGTGGTAACAGAGCGGTCACAAAATAGAAAAGGGTTGGCCGAAACCTGGAAAAGTGATAGGCTCACTTCAAAAAACGACAACCTTGTCGAACTGTGTCACTATGTCCTCTTCATTTCCCAGTGGTTATATATTTTGCTATTGTGGCAATGGACCGGTTTTCCAAGAGCGGAAAAGACATTATTTTTCCACTCCTTCATCTTTCAAGGCCAAAAAGAGGCAACCCACTGGGAAGCCCCACCTTTTTGTTTTCCGGCGCTTTTCCGCAACGTGTTGGACATCCATCGCAAGACATCCAACCATGCAGACATCCAACGTGTTGGAGCTGTTGGAGCAACCCACAAGAAAAACACATCCGACAAAAAGATCCTACTAGGAACAAGGACGCTACTACTAGGGGCTCCTGGCATCGCTACTAGGAGCAAGGACGTCGGGTTGAGGTCAGAACCCGAGTGAACTCGGAGGCCCGGGTTGAGGCCATAAGATCCACCGGGCCCGGACGTGGACGCGGTTCGGCTTTGCGTTCGACCGCCAGGATCCGCTGGGCATTGTAGGTGCCCGATTGCGGCAGGTGGACTGTCAGAGGCGACCGTTGCGGTGGGATGCCACGTGGGATGCCACGTGTGGCAATCCGAAGAGGAAGATTGGTTTTAGCTGTTTGTTTGCCCGCTCCCACTTAATTAAGTCGGCGCCTACTTGATTAAGTAAGGAGGAAAGCTCATAGGCTAAGTTAGCTTCCAGGTAGGACGCAAGATAGCTCACGCTTCATGTTTCACGCCGGGGGCAGCTTCGTTCTCTTCCACCAGAAGAAGCGCTCCTTCACGATTCATTGGTTCTTAGATGTTGATGGCCTCCACCCTAGCAGTGATGGCCTCCAACCTAGAAACAATTTGGTTCCTAGATGTTTAGGGAAACGCACTTATCTACATGAATTTTGGATTTTCGCGGCTACTAGTCAGTCTGAAAGTATAATTGATTGATGGTGATTGCAGAGAGCTGTGGATGGAACTTGATCCGAAGAGACTATGTATGATCGAATGATCACCGCTATATACATTGAATACATTGAATATATTCTTCAGTTCACGTTGGTCTTATTCACTACCTGTCTATTTCGGGCAAGTTCAAATTGTGCGTCGTCTATATTCACATAATTTGTCGTCCCTCCAAACAGACTCAACGTACTTCACCGACTTCTGCTGATGTTGGTGTCCTCCTGATGCTCCAATTGATCTCCATATGGTAGCCTGCAGGGTAGCATCAGGTGTCCATTTACTGAGCTTGCGGGAGTCCATTGGGTCTTTTATTGGGCAAGAATCCTCATCTCCTTTACCAGCCAATGGGGCCAATGCTGAAGCCAGTGAAATCGCGACCCGAAAATTGGTTCAGCACGACTGCTGTGCGTTTGTTGAAGTGTGCACTCAATCAAAATAGCTTTGCCCACTAGCTCTAGGGTTATCATTCCTCCTGCCTCAATATTTGAGTGAGCCTCACGCCTTTCTAGCCATTCAGCCTGTCCTATAATACAAAGGTTCCGAGTCGATATCATTGCGAAGGATCTGGTGTCATTCATTGATATGAATGTGATAAAGCATAGGCTCCTTGTGTACAAGCCTGACAGGCAAGTAAGCCCACGAGTGAACGGGCTAGTCTTATGTTGATCCAATATGATCCAATGAAGCTGTCAATGTAGAGCCACGCAGGGTTTGCGGCACCGGAGTCCGCTTTTTTCTCAGCCAGATCCTATAGAGCGCAAAAATAGTTACTGTAATGTATACAGCAAAAAAGGAAAACAACTAGGACAACTTATTGAAACACTAATAGGAAAAAGGTCGGAAAACATAAGTCAAGAAGCAACAGCAAACGACACACAAGTAGCTAAAATATGCTGAAATGAACAACACAAGACTTGGAGAGCCAAGGAAAGGAGATAAGAACCAGCTACAACATCTACAGTCCAGCTGCAACTCTACATCAACAGCTAAATTCGGTAAATGTGCTCAGAGTTCTCCAGCATTTGCCTGATCAAGTCCGGGGGTGATGGGAGAGCGATGAAGCCCCTTCCCCACTACGAAAGGACCAGAATGGGTTTCCTATTGTGTGTGTGTGTTTTGTCGCAATTGCTTTCCGATGTGTTGCTAAATTGTTCTTCGTCCGTGTGTTCCCAATGACTTTGATATTTTTCAAGCTTTGCAATTGTTCTCAAACCGTTGCCTTGGAACGTTTGAAAAAAGAAACTGGCCCCCAGGCGTCTAGAGTTGTTTGGCTGGGATTCGTCTAGATTGTCGTTTGCAAAAGGCGTCCTTGCAGGTTCAGAACAAGCATCTTGAGCTGAGTCTGTTTGTTCTGGGGGCTATATTTTAGTGGGATATGTTACATTGTTGTTTTTTAGTGGGATACGTTTTTTGTTGAGGCTTAGCAGGCGGGAGGAAGGAAGGCAGGGAGGAAGGAAGGAAGGCAGGAAGAAAGGAAGGCAGTTGCAAAACTTTGCCCAGATACCCAGCGACCCAGTGCAGAGACCATTGCAGTTATCAAAGGAAGATTCATTGGGGAAGCTCCGTGACATCTGTTTTTTGGTCGCGCCAAGTTACACTACCACAAACCAACCAACTGTGCCAAGGTTATGAACCGGTCAGCAGACTGCTGTTGTTGTTACTAGTTTGCAGCCTTTAAGTTTTAAGCCTAGAAATAGTTTCGGGTATAGCTATCTAGACCTCACTCAAGTGTCCACATGTTATGAAACACGCGCAGCCTTTGAAAAGGACATTTAAAAGGACATTGCAAAGGAGTTTTTAAAAAGAAATGTAAAAGCTAATTCAAAAGCAATGCACAGGATATTTATAAGGTCAGTTTAAGAAAATAGCAGGAAATTTAGAAGAACCATGAAAAGGCCAAATACAACAACATGTTGAAGGAAATGTTGAAGGACAATCAAAAGAAATATTAGAGGACATATGCAAGACATTTGGAAGGGAAGTTGGAAAAGAATTTGAAAGGACATGTGAAGGGACTTTGTAAGAAGGAACTTCACAGAAAATGTCAACGAATTTACAAATTGAAAAACACTTTAAAAAATAGAAGAACAGAAGACTAAAGCCATAAAAAGTATCCAACTAACACAATTATATAATCAAAACTAGCTGAAAATCAATTAGAACTAACCAAAATCACATGAACATTCCAAAAGCCTGAAGCCCCCCCCGAAAAAAAGAAACACTAAAACAATTAAATAAGACTAATTGAAAATCAATTAGAAATAATTAGAAACTCTTTAGAACTACAGAAGACTGAAGCCTTTTTAAAAATATTACACTTTAAAAAATATGTGTATATATATATATACCGCTAAAAGTCCGCAACCCCTTTGTTATTCCTGTGAGTCTCTTGTTCATGATTATGCGATATTATGCGTACTTGTTTGTTGTGTTTGCTTGTATTGTTTGTTTGGTCCTTGTATATCCTCCTTGTCTTCTGATTTGTTCTTTGGTTTTCCTTGTTTGTGCAACGGTTTCATGTTCAATTGTTTTTCCGATTGATTTCCTTATCGTTGTATCAATGATGTCAATGGAAGCTTAGCCACCACAACATAAGGCTAGGGCATGGTAATCATATTGCTCGAACGCGAGATCAGTCAGGGCTTGCGTGCGGAATTGTCACTAAACGGTAGGTAGTAGGGACCTATGGAATGCCTTGGTTCGCTAAAGTTCACTTCGGAGTGATTTGAAGGCCAACTCTTCTGGAGTCCTTGGGGTGAAGGGTGCACTCATTCATTCAGGTTGTGGTTTCACACGGTTTCACCCACACTGTGACCCAACAAAACTGCGTTATAATGGAGAAGGGTAAGTTTACTAAGGCTATCGATGGCTTACACAAACAAAAATCCGCTCCTTCCGATGTGACCGCAGGCAGGGCTGGGTTGCCGACTTGTCGAAGGATGCAGAGTGCCTGAGCCAGGAGACGGCGGGTGAAATTAACAAAGTCTGGAGGTTTCTGACAGAGACGGACGTGGAGAACCTGGGAACCTCTGCAAAAGTTGCAGAACTTGTGCATTCCACTGTTGGAGCAGTTTGAGCACTGCCTTGGACAAAGAATTTCTGAGCAACATGTCGCAAAAAAAGTGGTCGGTGGTTGGTCTTTCTTTTCCCCCACTGTCCATGCAGCCAGGTAGTTACAGATGTTACCATTGTCCACTGTCGACAATTGAAGCAGGTTCTTTCTTCTGGAAAAAGACTTAATTATATACATACTATGTACTAATATGTATGTTTTCTTTTAAGGATGATTGTTCAGCTTAAAATGCGATGCTCCATTCGAAGCTCTAAAAACACCCCTTCACACAAGCGGTAGTCACCTCGAAGATGATCACCTGAGCCGCCTATGGAAGAGGATGAGATGCTCATGCCGCGGCGAGTTGTAACATTCGGAGCAGCTGGAGCCTCAGGACAGATGGATGGCTCTTTTCTCTTGAGGTCTCCAACTACGTATATACACAGAGCGAGAGAGAGAGAGAGAGAGAAAGGGGTGTCGGATTTCGACGTAATCTCAGAAAACCTTCAGAACATGTCTAAAGGGTGCTCCTTTTGCTATTTTGTTTGATGCCGTTGCAAAAAGCTGTGTTTTTTGGAAGAGGTTGTCTTTTTGGGACGACTGTATCAACTGGAAGAATCCGACGTTAACAACTCAAATTCCAGATTCCAGAGTTTGCTTCGCTGGAGGTGAATATAGGAATTAGCTGTGTAGCAAGATGCCAGAAAAGGCAACTCCTTCCAGGGGGAGCGATCACTCATTTTTTCTGAATGGGTTTTTGGGATAGGTTGGAGGCCATCATGGCCATCGCTATTAGGTTGGAGGCCATTGCTACTGTAGTAGGTTGGAGGCTGCTTTGGGGTCCACATCAGTCTGTGCCCGAATCGACCTTCTTAGCACGTTGTTTTGCTTGGACCTCAAGTCATTCTCCAAAAATCTACAAATCATTTTAGAGCTTTTCATCCAAGCCCAGGTGTTCACTTGTTGACAGACCCAAAGCAAAAACCACAGCAGTCGGTCTCTCGGGTGTGTTCCCTTTTCATCTTTGGTCTCGGTCTCTCGAGACCTCCCCTCTTTCGTTCCAAGGGAAGCGACCGCATCAAAGAGGCCTCACCCAAACTGGGCATCGTTGGTGTTTTCGATGTGAGATGATGTGAGACTTCGCTCAGAGATGACGTGAACATCCAAGGGTTGATTCAGTGTTGAAAAAGACTGCCAGTGTTTCTTCTTCAAAGCGATCAGCGATCAAACAAAAACACCCAAATCCGACACTTTTTAAAGTTGGAGCAGTTCGGAAAAAACACAAAAGCACAAAGAGGCCTGCAAGAAGGCCTCGAACTTGGGACTGATGTTCTATCAACTGGAGGATGACGATCCGTAAGTCTCTTGCATTTGTCAGTTTCTCGGCGTCCACCTTTCATGTATGTGCCAACACTGGAGCCCTCCGACACTGTTACACGACCGAAAAGGGCTGAAAGGACAGTCAAAGCGAAAGCTGCACCGGTCACAACCTCGTGCAAACGCCATCCAGCGGGTCTCCAGCATTTATAGATCTCCAGTGGTTCAAAATGGCTTACAGGCTTTGGATGTGTACTTTTGGGAAGTTGCCCCAACTCCAAGCTATATGTTACAGTATATGATAGTATATATGAAAAGAAACACAACAATTATACAAGCATAGACCCCAAACAGCTTCAAAACGATTCGTTTAGACTAATATTAATCAAAAATTGATTTCTTGGTACGCCCTACTTTCACCCCAAAAGCAAACTGCTTCATCAATGAATTTTTGTCAGCATTGACATCGCTATTTGTTCGGCCACACTCCTCTCCAGTAAGCCGGGCCACAGAGACCAGCCACAGAGTTCAGGGGCGCGGCCAAGACAAGGACAAGAGGAGGACAAGACCCGGACACAGAGCCGGGCCACAGAGCCCAGCCACAGAGTTCAGGGGCGGCCAAGACAAGGACAAGAGGACAAGGCCCAGCCACAGAGCCCAGCACAGAGGACAAGAGGAGGACAAGAGCCCAGTAAGCCGTCCATAGCACACGAGCGCGCGCTCGCCCTGCTGTCTTTCTCCCTCTCTCTCTCTCTCTCTCTCTCTCTCTCTCTCTCTCTCTCTTTCTCTTTCTCTTCAAGCTTCTCTTTCTCTGTCTTTCTCTCTGCAAGGCGCGCTCTGCCTTTCTGGAGCGTATGTCAGAGCGCGCCCGATCGCGCCGTCCAGATCTGTCTCTCTCTCTCTCTCTATTTCTCTTTTTCTCTCTCTCTCTCTCTCTGTCTTTCTTTCTCTTTAAGTTTCTCTTTCTCTGTCTTTCACTCTGTAGAGCGCGCTATGTGGAGCGTATGTCAGAACGCGCGCGCCACAGAGCCCTGCCACACAGCCCAGCCACAGAGTTGACAGAGTTCAGGGGCGCGGCCAAGAGGAGGACAAGAGGAGGACAGGGCCTGGACACAGAGCCCAGCCACGCAGCCCAGCCACAGAGTTGACAGAGTTGAGGGGCGCGGCCGAGAGGAGGACAAGAGGAGGACAAGGCCTGGACACAGAGTTCAGGGTTGCGGCCAAGAGGAGGACAAGAGGAGGACAAGGCCCAGCCACAGAGCCCAGCCACAGAGTTGACGGCCAAGAGGAGGACAAGAGGAGGACACAGAGCCCAGCCACAGAGAGGAGGACAAGGCCCAGCCACAGAGCCAAGCCACAGAGTTGACAGAGTTCAGGGCGCGACCAAGAGGAGGACCCAGCCACACAGATTTGACAGAGTTCAGGGGCGCGGCCAAGAGGAGGACGAGGCCAGCCACAGAGTTGACGGGGTTCAGGTGGCGCGGACAAGGCCCAGACAGAGTTCAGGGGGCCCAGCCACAGAGCCCGAGTTGGCAGAGTTCAGGGGCGCGGCCAAGAGGAGGACAAGAGGAGGACAAGGCGCGGCCAAGAGAAGGACAACAGGAGAACAAGAGCAGGACAAGGCCCAGCCACGGAGCCCGGCCACAGAGTTGACAGAGTTCAGGGGCGCGGCCAAGAGGAACAAGAGAAGGACAAGAGGAGGACAAGGCCCAGCTACAGAACCCAGCCACAGCCGACAGGGGCGCGGCGCCGCGGCCAAGAGGAGGACAAGAGGAGGACAAGGCCTGGACACAGAGCCCAGCCACAGAGTTGACAGGGCGCGGCCAAGAGGAGGACAAGAGGAGGACAAGGGGCGCGGCCAAGAGGAGGACAAGGGGAGGACAAGGCCCAGCCACGCAGCCCAGCCACAGAGTTGACAGAGTTGAGGGGCGCGGCCGAGAGGAGGACAAGAGGAGGACAAGGCCTGGACACAGAGTTCAGGGTTGCGGCCAAGAGGAGGACAAGAGGAGGACAAGGCCCAGCCACAGAGCCCAGCCACAGAGTTCAGGGGCGCAGCCAGTGAGTGTGGCCAGCTCTTTTCTTTCTAAGATAGAACCCCAACAGTAAACTGTTTGGGGAAAAAAGACATTTTTGTTGCAGCGCCTTCCGTATTTTGTCGGACAATCCCACCTCGGCGTTCACGCCGCGTGCACGGGTCCCTCGCGGCAGGTCTTGCATGGTCCCGGCGCCGTGAGCAGGCGAGACCGCGTCGCCACGGAAGGCGGAGGATCGTCATGTCCTCCGGTTTCTGTTCGTCATGTCCTCCGGTCGCCAGTGACCAGGTGCTTGGAGGTTTCTGTGGATGCCACAGCAGAGGAGGCCTTTCTTCAGAGAATTGTGTTTTTTCAAGCGATTCTTGAAGTGCTGATTGGACATGGATCGAATATAATCAAATACTGTAGGTGATCAAATGATTTGCTATTTATGTTTTTTCGAGGCCTTCAAAGCCATCGTGGAGTTCGTCGAAAGGCAGGGGTAAGAGGACAAAACTTGTGCCAGTAAGCTGATGTGGGCGCCCTCTCTGCAACAAACAGGGGACCCCCTCTTTGGTATTCGGATGTCATGGCTTTTCCGGGACGTCCACATCACCATGAGGACATTGTAGAGAGGGTCACGACGCCGCGTCGCAACAAGTTGGCGGCCAGCCTTCGGCCATTTCGGCCTGTTAGGGCCAGTGCCAATTAGATTAGACATCTTTAGGCTGATGTAGCTTTGTTGCGTGACCAGTTCCAGGCCCTTACCAAGACCACATTGAGGCGCCGGCTTCTTCCATGCGAACAATGATCTGCAGGCTGTGTGTGTGTGCCACCCCCTGTACCAAAGGGTTCAATGCCACTGTTTTTCAGTACAACCACTCAACGAGGGAGGGGGCCAGCGGCCGACAAGCAAACGTGTGTGTGTGTGTGTGTCACACCCTGTTTCTAAGGGTTTCCCATCACCTCCACGTTCCACACCAGCAGGGGGCCAGAGAGGACTTCCAAAGCTCTGCCCAGCGAAGCTCTTTGCAAGATCCTAGGAAGCGGAAGCTGATCACTTCCGTGTACCTGCTCGTTTGTTTTTCACAAGCTGTTACTCCACTTTTCCACTTTTTGATTCATGGTCCTTCATGATACGTCCCACAAACCCACCACCGCCTTGCGCCGCTTTGCAACCGACTTTGAGTGTCAGATCGTTTTGGAACGCAGCTGCAAACATTGTTCAACAATACGGTTTTCGCGGATTCATGCGCCTTTCCGTTCCCTCACCTTCCTTCCCATCGTGGCAACTGAGTCTAACTGAAAACAAATGTCAGAGTGTGAGCCGCTCAGTCTTCCCACTTGGGTGCTGGGTGTGACCCTCCGAAAGGAGGCGCAGAAACCATTCCGGATTTCACTGGTCCTTCAATTTTATAACTGTTTTCCCACTCGTTCATTTCTATCACTGAATTTGCAGATTTTCGAGCCGCCGGGCTATAAACGATGGATTCCCTTTTATGATTACCAGACTCATTTGATCTTGCATTGCCACGACGTTGTTTACTGCTTTTCCCAACTTTTTAACCCGCAGCCATTTGATCAGCTTCCACATGTTTTATGCCACTTCGCATTGCATTTCACACCATGAGTTCACCTTACCTTTTCTCACTGCAGATCCACCAGAGCTCAGGAATCTTTCAGTATTTCCAACTTTTCACCTATTTCCCTCAGCTGCTGTGCCGCGCCGGCGCCATTTCCTGCAGCCTCCAACCTGTTGGATTGACCTCCCAACTGCCATCCACATGCAGTATCCTTGGCCATATCCACAGTGGCCATCGCACTGTTCCGCGCCCACAGTGCTACAATCGGTACTCAGCCATCACCGTGGCACCATCATCCATCAACCACACCTCTGCCTACAGCCCTGCCTCACCAGCAACCACCGACCACCCTATGCCATTCGACGTATGGCCTCCAACTTAGAGGAACCCGGCCGCAGCAGAGCACTGCACATCATCAACCAGGCGCTCAAATACCGCAACCTGACTCCTCCCAAACCCAACATCCCACTCACCATCCCATTTCTGGCCATCCCGCTCCACTTACCCACTCATCGCTTGCGGGAAGCAGCCCATAAGACCCTCAGGGCCCACCTCCACAATCACCGAACCTGGGAGGGTACGTTGCACACCCCTCCGGATTCCAGTGACTTGCCATGCGCATGCGCCCACCTCAAAACCATTCTTCTCGACCCAACCACACCCACAGTCGACGACCATTACATCCTCACCCTTGAACAACTCACATTGCCACCGCATCTCCGCATCTTCCTGGCCGCCAATATGAACAGCACTTTTTACTCCAGCAAGGCCACATACTTCCTTTCGTTTCAGACTGCTTTCGCCAAATGGTTACGAATACAAGGCCTCCCCACCTCTCTTACACAGCACTTGGAGCCCTTCCTCCAGCACCAGTGGAAGCTCCACACCACCCATTTGAAACAGCAACCCCGTTTCACAGCTCGCCTTCTACGGCAACTCCAGGAATTCCTGGGTGATCAAGTTGTTCTCCACCATGCCGACCATGAACTACAACAGCTGCGCATTTTCTGCCCCCGCCAATACTTCACCGGGGCGCTCCACCTGGCAGTCACCTGAACTCCTTGCACCCATGCCAACACTCCACCCTTCGAACATCCACGAATACCTTTTAAACACCGTCCCCTCCAGCCTCCGCACACGCTACAAATGGGGCTTCCGAAAGGATTTCACGATCCCATACGGCATCGTCCACCTCAAAGAGAAGAAGCATTGGCGCAAAGGCCGCACCATCATATCGTACTTCCAGTCCCTGAGCGGCAATCTCCTCCGCATCACCAGCAGAGCACTCGACATTATACTGCAACACCTCCTCCCCCAACATCCAGGTCAACTGTCCATTCCACAGCTTTGGTCCCCTTTCCACTGCTACCTCACCCACACACCTCCTCACATCCCCTTACATGCCACCAACGACGATCTCGTCGGTTTCTTCAACTCCGTTCCCCAGCACCGCCTGATTGATGCCGTTCACTCTCTCATTCAGCAACGGCAGCGCCAGAACAACACCCACACACTTACAGTCGACACCAAAGCCACTGGCAATCCTTTCCACCACTCCCACATTGGCCAGCACCACATTCGCCATCCCACAGCGCACCATCCACACAGCTGACATCACGACAATTGTGGCTTACGCACTCGACACCTGCATTTTCCGGGCATGCAACAACACTTACAAGCAAATTCGGGGGGCTGGGATTGGCTCCCAGCTCTCACCTGCCCTTTGCAACGTCGCCATCACACTCATTGAACATTCATGGCACCAGCTCCACAACAACCTTCTCCAACATACCGCCCTCCACTTCACATACTATCGGTATGTCGACAACCGTTTCATTGTCCACAATGAACACTTGCTTTCACATCCACCAATACAGACCCTCATCCACAACAACTTTTTCGGCGATCCCGTCGAATTGGAAACTGTGGACGACTTTCGCCTTTTGGGCTTCCACATCGATCTCCAACAACGAACCATCACCTACATGCAACCCACCCAACCCTGGAAAATCAGGGATCACACCAGCGCCGGTAGCCAGCGCTTGGCTCTTTCCGGCTTAGCTTCCAGACTCCACGCCATTTATACATACACTTTTCCACCCCACAACGCCACAGCTGCGGCAGAAGCACTGGTCCAACTTTACGCCCAAAAAAGGGCACGACCTGCAAGCGTGCAGGCGGTTTTTGAAGAAAAGGTCCGTTTTTCCACTGCTTCGCATTCGCGCCGAGTTCGGCTTGTTGTGTGTGTCACACCCTGTTTCTAAGGGTTTCCCATCACCTCCACGTTCCACACCAGCAGGGGGGCAGAGAGGACTTGCAAAGCTCTGCCCAACGAAGCTCTTTGCAAGATCCTAGGAAGCGGAAGCTGATCACTTCCGTGTACCTGCTCGTTTTTTTTCACAAGCTGTTACTCCACTTTTCCACTTTTTGATTCATGGTCCTTCATGATACGCCCCACAAACCCACCACCGCCTTGCGCCGCTTTGCAACCGACTTTGAGTGTCAGATCGTTTTGGAGCGCAGCTGCAAACATTGTTCAACAATACGGTTTTCGCGGATTCATGCGCCTTTCCGTTCCCTCACCTTCCTTCCCATCGTGGCAATTGAGTCTAACTGAAAACAAATGTCAGAGTGTGTCACCCCCTGTACCAAAGGGTTCAACGCCACTGTTTTTCACTACAACCACTCAACGAGGCAGGGGGCCAGCGGCCGACAAGCAAACGCTGGCTAACAAAGCTATGCTTGTCGGTGGATGCACAGTCTGATCAACTGAGATCCGCGAAAAGCGCCTTGACCTGGACGCCATAGCTGAGACCCTCCACACCTCACAAGGCAATGACATCCCCAGCAAGACAACGCAGGCACGTGCCTTCCACGCCCCATTGATCAACCTCCTCATCCAACAACTCCAATCACACTCACCAGCCCCAGCGGAAGGCACAGCCCTACGGGCACTCAAATCCGCCACCGATGAGCTTGCCCGCGCAAAACAGAAGCTCCACAACTTGGGCGTTCCATTCACCCCCACGAAAGGCACCACTCAACCCTCCAACACCGCCGATGCGTCACATCCACCAACAACCACCCCACCGCCAGCACACAAACCACCTGTCCTGACAGACGTCCTGCAGCCCCCGCACCCTTCCCTCAAAGATGACGTCCCTGAAACCTGGACCACCACTGACATCCAGCAATGGGTCACTACTTTTGACCCCGCAGTCCAGGAGTCGGCCAATGAAATTCTACGCCTTCTCCAAACCAGCAAGGTCACCACACAACAACTGAAGGAAGCTGCCACTCGCTATGGCCTTCCTCTTGGCCGTGTTAACCGACTCCCCATCCGCAGTCTCCAACACCTCGTCAGCGTCGGTGCAGCCATTGGCTGCTGACTATGCTTTCTCAGCCAGCAGCAGCCCAGCCACATCACCATGCAACATCTTTTCCACCTTCACCGCGCCTTGTCAACTTTGATTCACCACACCCAATACATTGAACGAGCAGAGGCCATCTTCACGACAGGCCTCATCCACCTCACCCTCCTCTTCTCATATCCGTCAACCGCCCACCGATCCCAACAGTGGCGCAACCGCTTCCGCCAGCTTCACATTCTTCCACACACCTACCACTACCGCAACTTTCTCTCCCACAACTCAGTCTACATCAAGCTCTACTTCAACCCCACCCCACCACTTCGCTGTTACCACCAACATTGCCACTTTTACATCGGCTCCACGGCCATTGGCATTCCCCACAGAGAACACAATCGCAGAGCCAAACTCAAGCAACTCCAAAACAACATCCCTGTATCAGCAGAACTCTCCCTACGATATTGGCACTCTCACAACAACATCCACCACTACACCACCATCCAGCTCACATCCCATGACACCTATGATCAGGCCTGGATCCAAGAACATCACCACATTGCCAACTGGATGCCCACACTCAACTGGCCCTTCATCTCCCACCATCTCAAGCTCAAAGCCCAAGGGTGGCAATTCACCAAGCATCGAGCCCATTTTTACTCCGGACTGGCCACTCACAAACGCCTTTTTCGACGACTCCGCCTCCGCCAACAGACACTCAAAGAACCACACCTTTACACTTCCACAAAACACCATGCTCTCACGCTATTCCGCGACCTTACCAAACACACGGCAGCCTCCTTTGAAGCAGCCAAACAACTGCGCAGCGGTCGTCACACAGACCTAGAAGTCTACGCCATCAGACGCATGGCCGCCAATCTGGAAGGACCAGGCCACAGCAGGGCACTCCACATCATCAACAAAGCCCTGATTTTCCGCAATCTTACACCACCCAAGCCCAACATCCCTCTCACTGTGCCTTTCCTGGCACACCAAGACTTCACCAAACATTGCCAACAGTGGCTCCGTACCACCATCCAGCAGCACAAGCATTTGGCCATTCCTCTCCACCTCCCATCTCACCGCCTACGGGAAGCAGCCCACAAGACCCTTCGATCCCAACTCCACAACCACCGCACATGGGAAGAAACTCTGCAATCGCCACCAGATCCAGCAGAGCTACCTTGCGCCTGCCCCCACCTTCGAAGCCTCCTCCAAGATCCAGACACAGCGACCACCAACGACCACTACATTCTCACACTCGACCAGCTCCATCTCCCACCACACCTCAACATCTTTCTCAGCGCCAACATGAACAGCACCTACTATCCCAGCAAGGCGCGTTACTTCCTTGCATTTCAAACGGCTTATACAAAATGGCTTAAGCTCCAGGGACTTCCACCAACCCTCACGCAACATTTGCAACCTTTCCTCGAGCACCAATGGCGCCTTCACAACACCCATTTAAAACAACACCCCAGATTCACTGCTCGCTTACTTCGACAGCTTCAGGAATATCTCGGCCCACACACCGTACTCCACCATGCTGATCACGAACTACAACAGCTCCGTGTTTTCTGCCCTCGCCAATACTTTACCGGAGCCCTTAACACATGGCAATCTCCCGAACTTTTTGCACCACTTCCATACCTGACAGCCGCCAACATCCACGACCACCTCAAAGCCACTGTGCCCTCCATCCTACGCACCCGATACAAATGGGGCTCCCGCAAGGTTTTCAACATCCACAACATCCAGGCCAACTTTCCATCCCGCAACTCTGGCGCCATTTCCACTGCTATCTCACCCAAACCCCCGCAGACATCTCACTATATGCCACCAACGATGATCTGGTCGGCTTCTTCAACTCGGTTCCCCAGCACCGCCTCATCGACGCGGTCCACTCCATGATTCAACACTGGCAAGCACAACAATCCACACACACCCGCACCATTGACGTCCACGCAACCGGCCACCCATTCCACCATTTCCACATCGGCCGGCATCACCAAAAACACCCCACACAACGCACCATCCAGACCTCCGACATCACCACCATTGTCGCCTATGCACTCGACACCTGCATTTTCCGGGCATGCAACAACACTTACAAGCAAGTCCGAGGAGCTGGGATTGGATCCCAACTCTCTCCTGCCCTTTGCAACGTAGCCATCACTCTCATCGAACACTCCTGGCACCAGATCCACAACAACCTCCTCCAACACACCGACTTACACTTTGCATACTACCGATATGTTGACAACCGGTTCATCGTCCACAACGAACACTTCCTCCAACACCCCGCCATTCAAACCCTTATCCATCACAACTTCTTTGGTGACCCAGTGGAACTTGAGCCAGTGGACGATTTTCACCTTCTGGGTTTCAACATTGACCTACAACAACGTACCATCACCTACATTCAACCTCTACAACCCTGGAAAATCAGGGACGCAACCAGCGCCGGGAGCCAGCGCTTGGCTCTGTTTGGGCTCCACTCAAGACTTCACACAATCCACAAATACACCTTTCCACCTTCGAGCGCTGATGCTGCTGCCACGGAGCTTGTGAAACTTTACGTCCAAAAAGGACATGACTCAACAGCTTGCAGCCGGTTTTTGAAAGGAAAAAGCGCCGATCACGGCGACCTGTGTGTGTCACCCCCTGTACCAAACGGTTCAACGCCACTGTTTTTCACTACAACCACTCAACGAGGCAGGGGGCCAGCGGCCGACAAGCAAACGCTGGCTAACAAAGCTATGCTTGTCGGTGGATGCACAGTCTGATCAACTGTGTGTACCTGCGACCAACTTTTGCACAAGCTGTCCAATCTCCTTTTTTGTTTCCATGGTGGTTCATGATACTTCCCCCAAACCTACTCTTCCCCAGCAGCTGTGCCGCGCCGACGTTTGACACCGCCGACCTTGTGAGCTGCAGATGTGCAACAACCTTTGTTAAACAATACCTTTTCACGGACTCTGCCACCTTGCCGTTCCATCGCCATTTTACCTGGGAATTGAGTGTAACTGAAAACCAATGTCAGAGTGAAGCGGATGGCAGAAGCTGAAAACAAAAGGCTCCAGGCCACGGGAGACAACAAGGCATCTGTTTCTTGAGCCAAAATTGCTGACTTTTCTGTGGGAAAAGGTGAGTGTTTGACAGGTTGTAGGGGAGTTCGGATGCGATTGCTGTTGTTTCTTCCATTTTCCTCCTTTGTTGTCGTGAAAGAGTTGAGAATCATGTACTTTTTCAGCCCAGACCTTTGACCATGGACAAAGGATATGAAAGCACAGCCTGCAAACTGGGAAACTAAGATGACCCTGACTGTTCTGAGCGTGGAAAAGATCATCCATTTTGATGATATTTTTTCAATGCTCACGTGTCACCCGTGGAAAACAATTCCGCGATATTAATGAACAAACAATCAAATTCAAAAGATATGATGAAAAATTCAACAATAATAAATATATTATATACAAAGAAATCACTAATATTTTTTTGGATATTAATTAAAAAATTGTGTTTTTTGCAATATGTTGGATTTATTAATGTTCATTATTTTTGTTTTTGGATTATAATATGAAATTTAAATATTTTATCTGATTTTAGGAATTTAATTAAGTTGTTTATGAATATATTATGATTTATATATTTTTAAAATTATATATATAATGGATGATTAATTGATTTAGTGACATTAGGAAATTTTGTATGATTTGAAATATATATTCGCATATATTATTTTTACATTATAGTAAATGGAGGTATATTTATATGTATGTATAAAGGAAATATTTGGAAAATGATAATAATATTTTTATTTTTTTATATATAGTGTATGTTTGGTAAATGTTTTTTGGTTAATGGACGATGGTTTTTATAAGAATTTAGGATTTGGATGAATTCGTCGTAATTTTTATAAATAATATGTTCGAATTCTTCGGTTTTATTTTGAAATTATGATAATGGATGATATGCATTGATAATTTTATATAAAAAAATGTAAAATGGATGATTTTGAACAATATTGTAATATATTTTTTTGATCTTTTATTTTTTTGTTGAATAATAATGTCGGTTTTTATAAACCAAAATATAAAAATATATAAATTAATTATATGCTTTATGTTTGTGAATATATGCATTGCCTCCTTTAATGAGTTTGTATTTTGGAATTTATAATGGCAAATAATTTTTATAATCTTTTTTGTCGCCGAAGATATTTGATTTTATGTGGATTTCGCATAGAATGTATTGGAAATGAATGTAACTAAGATTTCGTATTTATATTTATATTATATCTTTCTACGATTTTGATCTTTATAATTCTTTTTTGTGATCGAGGATATTATATATTTTTGAATATATTTATATAGAAGCGCCATCTTAATGCAAGAGCGCGTGTATGGAACACCAAAGGCCACCCCAATTACTTATTGATTTCGCCTTCAATTTTGGGCTCCTTGGCCCACATTATCATCCACTGACGTGGATCATCCCCAAATGGTTCCCTGGACCAAGACCCAAACCGATTGTCCTTTTTTGATCGCAACCGTATTCGACAAGACATGAAGCAGAATACCCAGCGCTGGCAAGGGTTTTGTTGAGAGGCCAGACAATTTTTGTATTCGACCACTGAGATTGATCCCTCCTCGTTTCATCAAGTTGAAAGTTCATTGACTGATCTTTGCAAAACATTGTTTCCCAAACAAAATTCCACACCAATTGAATGCAATTCGCTTGCTTCCATTGCTGCCCGCGTGTGGCAGGCCAGGAAACTTATTCGCGCATTGACTGATCGGTCGCCCGCTTCCCTTTTCACTGTCTGGAAGCACCTTGCTTTGTTTCGACGATATCACAAGCAAGTTCGCCAATTTAGCCAGACAGAATAAGCGCCAGAAACTGGAAGACTTCCTTCAGGAAGGTGCTGATCTGGCCTTGCGTCATCAGACGTATAATTGGTATCGCAAGGTTCGAAAGTTGTGTCCCAAGCAATGCCCTCAGAAGATTCAGATGTATGATGATCATGGACAACCCCTCATGGACAACCCCTCCTTACAACTACAACGTATTGAACAATTCTTTGGCAAGCTATTTCAGGACTCTTCCTTTCAGTACCCTGGTAATATCCCACTCCAAATACTTCCTTTTACCCAGGATGATGTGTTGCAGGGCCTTCGACACCTACCAGCTATGAAAGCACTGGCCCCACCCTGCATGCCCGCCATCATTTGGCAACACCTAGCCACGGAGCTTGCGGGTCCGATCCATGCTGCCATTGAACACTACTGGTGTGCAGAGCAAGTGGCACCACCCAGTCACTGGCTTGCCGGCTAGTTGCACTTGATCCCTAAGCCAGGTAAATCCAGCACACAACCAGCGGCACTTAGGCCCATTTGCCTCCAGCGCCCTATTCTCAAGGTTGTGTCTAAGATTGTAACAACCCTCATCAAATAATATGCATATACCATTCTCAGAAGCCTGCCACTCTATGCATACCTCCCGCATAGAGGCACCACAGAGTGTCTCCTTCGGGTCTCACAGCACTGCCAGCAAATTCGACAGCTTTGTCGTGATCGACAAATGGACGCAAGTCCGTAGGATCTATTCGGCGGTCTCCAGGTCTAAAAGGCATTTGACACAGTCCGTCGAGACCTCGTATTTCATGCACTGAGCCTGATAGACCTCCCTCCTAACGTACTGCATATGATTCAAACTTGGTTGGCGCCCCATAAGTATCGCATCCCCTTTAAATCACTTGTTGGGACCATAGAAGCCTCTCGAGGGATTAAACAAGGATCCACAGATGCACCCATCCTCTGGACCCTCTGTATGTACCTCATCATAAAGGAATTTCTCCAATGATATTCCCATGCCTGGTTGCACGACCACCTGATAATATACGCCGACGATGTCCACCTTCGTTGGACTTTGAATAGCATTGCAGATGGTCAGTGTGCTCTCGAAGACCTTGCCCATATACTGCACAACATTAACCCCACCAAGAGTGTTGTTCTCTTTCGAGCGGTTGGCAAAGGGGTCACTAAGTTCATTCGCCGATGGATCAGCAGGACTAAATAAGGTCCACAGCTTTTGATCCCAGACACACCTTTTCATCTGCCAATGGTGGCCAAAACAGCGTATCTTGGTGTGATCATAGGATATCGAGCGTGGGAATCCGATACCACAGCCAGAAGAATCCAGGCAGCACAACATTGTTACTCGATACTCAAGCGGTGGCTCCAGGCACAATCCATTCCTGCACATGTCAGATTCAGGCTATATCAGCAGTGTGTTGTGCCAACAGTCCTGTACGGTGTCCACGAAATGGGGTTACCCACATCCTGTTGTAAGAGATTCGTGAGCATAATCAATATACATATTCGACGGATGATACACTCATCAGCACACCTCACTCACGAGAACACCACAAACTTCTTCCTCCGACTTGGAGTACAACCACCTTGGACACATATCGCAACACATCATCGTAAATTGACATCTGCTCTGACCCATAAGCGCCAGAGCCTGATGGAGCCCGATGAGCCGCAACCGGATGTCTGCACACTCAGTCCTGCATATCCACCATGTGCCATGCATGAATATATACCACCGACACCACCGATGCCCCAGGCCTCGTTGGCCTGCCCGGAATGCCATCGACTCTTTGCACAGGCAGGGATGCTCAAGAAGCACCTTCGACAACAACATCAGGTCCCATATCTACCGGAAGATGTCTTCAGACCGCTGAGAGATTCGTATGATAGTAGATCTATATGTAGGCATTGCAAACATCAATTCACCACCTTATATGCATTACGAGACTTTACGAGACCATATAAACAAACGAACATGTCATGCCTTCGATGCTGCTCAGGCCACTGTCCAGCCCATCGTCGCCAGGGAAGAGCTCAGAATGCAGATCCGTCACAGGTCCTTCATGGGTCTTATGTTGGATGATGCCCTGTGCGCGGAACTCGCCGCCAGATGTGCTTTTTGCAAGTTGAAAGTCCATGCCAGAGCCACGACCCGGCATTATACAGACTCCCACCCAGAGCTTGTTGGCCTTGCAAAACAACAATATGACTTTGTGAGTAGCTTGTCCAATTTGGTCTCCGGCAAAGGTCAATGCCCCATGTGTCAATGCAAGAGTCTTGATGCGCAAAAGCATACCTGTGTCGTCATGTGCCACCTTGCCGCCATGTCCGGTCATGTCATGAATCCAGAGCATTTCCCGATCATGCCGCTTCGAAAACGCCCTTGGCCATCGACCGTGAACTTAGGCCATGAGAACACATCCACTGAGCCGCATCCTGAGCCGGCTGAGAAACGTGCCCGCACTACAGACGGTGCTGCAGATCAGCATGAGGACACCGGACACGCCAAAGAGGATCGACCACAAATTGCACTCCATAAGTGTCCAACATGTTATACATATTTTTTGAGTTTCAACGGCCTGCAAACCCATCAACAGGCGGCTCATGCCGCCACTGATATTGACCCTCCACCTGCCAAGAGAGGTCGTCCCATTGGTGCTGACACCATTGCACATCGACTTCGTGCCACGACGACCGAGATTCCGGTTCCCATTCAAGAGCTTGAATGTCCGTTGTGCTTTGAGCACCTTGGCCGTAAAGCTGTTGCTAGCCATCTTCGTAATGTGCATCAAATTGGCAAGCCCAGCTCATTTCCTTTTCGACCAAGCCTGGATATGTTTCCTGGACTTCTGAGTTGTATGCATTGTAAAGCTAGCTTCACCGTGGTTTTCGCCCTCAAGAATCATTTTGACAGAGGCACCTGCCCGGTCCTTTTAAAAAATTGGGTCCGAGATGCACACTATGGTCCCAAAGTTGACAGTGTCCCATCCCAAAGCCTGCAGCATGACCAGACTCCACTGCCGACTCAGGGCATCCATCAGACATGGACCTGCGGCCTCCTGCTCGGCACTGACCGACATTCGACCATGGCCTTGAGACATTATGTGCATGAACAAGTCGATAGATGCATCCAATTTCGACCTGAAAGCCGCCTGCTTTGGTACACGTTTGTCATGCAGTGGACGATTCACTTTCCGGACTTGCCTCAGGTTGCATTGAATATGGGCACTGCGCCCTTCATTGTTCGTTGGATCGTGGAACTGCTCCCCTTGCATTGGGCCTGGAACTCAGATAGTCCTGATTCTTGGTGGGATCCTCGAACAATTGATTTAGACACAGATCCATATGAACAAGTCAGCTGGTGTTGTATAGCAATCCTTGAACTCGAGCACGCCCTGGCCAGAGATTTTGTCCTGTCAGCCGCATTCGAGCATGGACGACAATATGCCGATGGACGACATGTCATTTGCCGACCTTCTGCCCACATGTCAGGCACATCTCAAGCGCCCTCGAACAGAGGTGGAATCATCGCAGGGCAAAGCAGCTGGGAAAGGCAG